TAGTAGTAGTAGTAGTAGTAGTAGTAGTAGTAGTAGTAGTAGTAGTAGTAGTTTTAGTAGTAGTAGTAGTAGTAGTAGTAGGAGGAGGAGGAGGAGGAGGAGGAGGAGGAGCTGCTACAGCAGTACTAGCAGTGGTAGTAATGGCAGTGTTGTAGTTGCAGTAGTATAGCAGTGTTTCAGGTGATATTATAGTTGTCGTTGCTGTTGCAGTGAACACATTGCTGCTGTGACAGAGTAGTATACTATCCAGGCACAACCATGCATAATTGAAGTCAGTATCAAAGCTTTTTGTTGGGCTAATTTGTGCATACTCAATAAATTAGTTATTATCAATAAAGTTTGCTGGCCGAGCGGTTTATTATACGCGTTTCTCGTAAAGATGACCGTACATGCACGCACAATATATAAAAAAACAGCAGTATCAGTCACGGCCTGGAATTCTGACTCCTTTCCTTTCGGTTTTCATTTTTAAGGTAACCGTCTTATAGCAGTTACATTTATACCACCACGTTGAAGCAGTGAATAAGGTGCTCGGCTGCTGAACCGAAGGTCATGGGTTCGACCCTGGCTGCGGCGGCCACGTATCGATGGGGGCGAAATTTCTGAGGCCCGAGTACTGTGTGAGGTTAGCGCAAGTTTAAAGGACACTGATGGTCTAAATTTCCGGAGCCGTCAATTGCGGCGTCTCTCGGGATCACATCGTGCTTTGCGGACGTAAAATCCAAGATATTACTATGACATTAATTGCATCGCTGGCGCTGCACACACACAAAAAAGAAATAATAAAAGAAACCCAACGGTGGTGTAGGGTACAGAATCGCGGCTATCGAAACTGCCGTGGTCACTCGCGTGTTCACTATGGAGGGTTTTACAATGATGTATACACTATCGATAACGGGCTTGTGAGATCAGCCGTGTCTGATTTGACAATCAGATGAGGTCACGGGAGAATTAATGCTTCCACATCTCGTGGTTGCCTGGATGCGAACGCGTGACTGTCGTTGTAGTTTGTATAGCAACTGGACTGTTGCGCTGCTATGCGGCTCGATGAAGGTTCAACTCTCGCTTGTGTACGGCGGAAGAGTACAGTATGGCGAGAGCTTAGGGCAATAAAAAATAAGTAAATAAATAAATGAATAAATAAATAAATCACGAAAAGATAGACAGGCCGACATACATACATACATACATACATACATACATACATACATACATACATACATACATACATACATACATACATACATACATACATACATACATACATACATACATACATACATACATACATACATACATACATACATACATACATACATACATACATACATACATACATACATACATACATACATACATACATACATACATACATACGTACATACATACATACATATACATACATAGATCAGATAGATAGATAGATAGATAGATAGATAGATAGATAGATAGATAGATAGATAGATAGATAGATAGATAGATAGATAGATAGATAGATAGATAGATAGATGTGTATTACGCCAGGTAGGCACGTGCCATACAAAGCTTGCCCCCCGCCTCTCCCTTTTTCCGATAGGGCAAAAGCTCTCGAATCTTCGTCGTATAGACTTCAATACGGCTGCAATGAATTCGCTGAAACACCTCGTATATTTTTCATCTATACCTGCGCGCTCTTGGCATCATATGGGAAGGGTGGTATTTACCCTCCACGTATTCTAGTCGCGAGTTGTTTCTTCTGAATCGTGTAGGAAAACCTGATACCGGGACATTGTGTTGACGCGGATGGCTCCCGGTGTGTTTCGCGAAGTGATTTGAATGCGACTCGCTGGATGAAAGCTTACACTCGCGACGCTCAGTAATGGGTTCAACGACTTGCGGAGACTCTCGCCTCTATACTTGACACAGACATATGTCACCTTTTTTTTCTTACTTTTAAGGCAGCGGTTGCTCTAGAAGCTCCTTCATAGAAGTGTGACAGCTTGGGCTAGTTGGTATGGCATGACGATAGTTATAGCGCGAGAACAAAATGACGACACAGAGACTAGAAGGACACGGTCTTTCGTGTCCTTCTTGTCTCTGTGTCGTCGTTTTGTTCTCGCGCTATAACTATCGTCATTCATAGAAGTGCTCTAGAACAAGTGGAGACGCAGCAAAGGGAAATAAAAAAGTGCAGCAAACAAGAATGTAAAAGCAGGAACCCTTTGCTGAAGCATCGTCATAGCGCGCAAGCAATATCTGTAAGTTATTACAAGTCGTATACAAAGTTCTCCAAAATGACAACCAGCTGTCTATCTTTTTTCGTCTCTTCATTTTTCGCGTTTCTTTTTTGATATGTACTTTCTTCAATTGTGGCGCAATTGTGGCGACCAGTTGTTTATAGCTGCTAGCTGTGCACTCTAAAAAAAGAGCGAGTAAAAAGGGTGTCTTTTTGTCCCACGACAATAATCGTCATCTACATTGCGTTCCATCCTTGCGCTATCGCCCCGCGCCCGGTACATTCCGGTCACGATCAACATGCCCATTATCAGGGTTACATTGCATTCTTGATAGGAAAGTGGCCAGCGCCGAGTATTCAAGAAAGGAAGCGCACGCAAGCCTGATGACGATTATTGTTGTGGGACAAAAAGACACCCTTTTTACTCAATATTTTTTAGAGTGTATGACAAGTTTACTTGTTGGGGCAGCTGTAGTTTTTTCATTTTATTTTTCCCCAACTGTACAACACTGGAATGTAAAAGAAATAGAAGAAGCTTGCGCTGGCCCTGCAAGATTTTAAAGAGCGAAACTGTGCGATGTAGTTGCGTGTATTGGCTTGTGCTAGGTGTGAACTCGGCTGATTCACATTACAGGTACGAGAAGCAACGAAATCGTTACTGACATATTCGAAGACTACGTGACTAACAGAGCACCTGCGACACCGAGCACGGGACTTTTGGTGTGTCGGCGGCAACGAGAGTGGCCTTTCTGTTCTTTTCTTAAACATTCCCTCTTTCCATCTAGAGTTGCCAACAAGGCATAACACAACACATAACAGATTGCACCAATTGTGACTCCAACCTCCATCTGGCCTTCATCGACGTGAAGCTTCGCTTATATGAGCTTCGGTTGGGAGTTCCCTTCACAAAGGCATACATTACGTTAACGAGAACGACTTAAGATGTTTGCGGCAGAGAAGAAAACATCGACCACTTGCTGTGTCACTGTCCTCGATTTTTCTCGGAGAGGCAAGTACTGTGTGACGCACTGCTGCGACTGCATGATCGGCCACTTTCCGTGCAGGTGCTACGACACCTCCGTCACTTCTCGATGCCCACATTGCAGTGAAGGTACACTTGCGCTGTTTGAGGACTAACTGCTTGTGCGAACGCCCCCGACTTGCGATGAAGTTCTGCACGGGTCAGTGAATTACCTGCCCTATTCCCTCCTCTTTCCCCCTCTGTCAACTTCCTATTCCCCATTCCCAATCTCCAAGTGTAGAGTAGCCGATCAGAAGCTTCTATGGTTAACCTCACGGCCTTCCGTTTTTCTGTTTCAGTCTTTTCTTCTTTGTCTCTTTCACAACGCTGTGGCACTGAGGGTGGCAATTTCGACTTGTTGATATGGTAGTATGGTAATTGGTTGTAGTTCACACTAAGGATCTTTTGTCCTTATTCTGCGCCTTCATTTGTCCGTGTTCTTTGTCTGCGCTGCCATCAATTACCATGCTGTGGCACATGACTGCATGCAGCGATTGGCGTATCTTTTATGTAGGAACACAGAAGACAACGCTTGGATGCATCAGGGTCAAGCGAGCGCATGTGTTGTGTGCCGCGACTCACATGGCAAGTTCCATATGCCACAGCCGTAGGGTGATCAGCTGTTTCGATTCTTGAACACGTCATTGTCACATTTGGGTAGAAGTAGACTTCAATATGCTGCTTTATTTGGCTCCAATTAATCAGAAAAAAGTGCATAACAGCTGCATTTTACTGTTACCTATGAGCCCTACGGGTCATAAACCTGGAGGTTTACGAGAAGGGGTCAATTTGAATTGAAGACGACGCAGTGAACGATGGAAAGAAAAATGATCGGTGTAACTTTAAGCGACAAGGGAAGAGAGAGCACAACGGATCATGTAACAAGGGGGTTTAAGGCCATCTTACTCGAGATCAAGAAGAAATGCGTACGTCCGAGGCTCGTAGCGTGAAGTCAATATAACCGCTGGTCATTCAGAGTGACAGACTGGATTCTAAGCGAAGGCAAGCGCGCCAGGGGGAGACAAAAAGTTAGATGGGCAGATGGGATTATGAAGATATAGGGGGTAATGAGGACGCAGCAAGCACAGGACCACGTGAATTGGCGGGACATAGAAGAGGCCTTCATCCTAAAGTGGGCGTAGTTTGGCTGCTGCTGCTGCTGATGATGATGATAAAATAATTATTCAATAAACTAATGTATTGCGGGCAGAGAAGAAGCAGCTGCATTTACTATTTCACTAAATTAAAATAAGCATGTGGTGATTTTGCAGAGCAGTATAATGTAAATGCGCAAAAAGCGCTTCGAACGAGCGTACAGTGACTTGAATCAAATTCAACGAACTTTCACCAGTTTTCACAAGACGGCTTTCCTTGGCTTCAAACAAGTGATCATCTGTCGTCGTAGCACATTCACAAATAACCTCATTGTCAAATGCGTTTGTTGTCACATTAGTATCATGGAATAAAGAAAAGGCTCTTTTTGGGGGTCGCTTTATGTCATGGGCCTTATTGGAAAGTACCCACAAAAACAATAAAGCGTTTAAAGAGTCGTATCTGAGTTAGCTTAACCTGTCTTTTCATCTGATTTTTCTTCCTGGTATTGTAGACAAGGCTTTTTTTTTTTTTCACTTGACTTCTTCATTTCAGCTTTCATCGGCGGCATTCACTCATACAGCAGTAAGTGCTTCAATTTGCATCTCTCAGCTTACGATGTCAGAACTGTGTTGCATATTGAACTCGTCGACGAGGATTTGTCTGGCTAACATGGCTGGTATCGATTGGCCTGCTTGTGCCTAGTCAGGTACATCTTATGCCCATTATTCAGCTTTGTCTCACTGCCAAGATCTATAACAGGGGTTTGACTCCCTGCCGCTACGGCTACATCTAGATATAGGCAATGCTAACGAAACCAGTGTACTTTAAGAGGGCCTCTGGAAATTATTCCAAAGGCCTTCTCACCCGATCGCACTTGAGCCATGCCGTACATAATGTACCTAAATTTAGTCGCCTTAAAATCAATCAATCAATCAATCAATCAATCAATCAATCAATCGGGTATAATTTATTTTCACCTGAAGTGAAAAAGGGGGAAGCCGTGAGAAATACCGTAATCTCTTCGGCCTGAAAAAGCGTCAGTCTCCCAGGCCGATAGAGTGCCCTTAATATTTTCCGTTACATACGGTTCAACACAACTAGTTACGTAAAACCCGAAACTCGCTCTTAAAGCCCCAAAATTATCATCCGTCAGCTCGTTTGACAGTATGGTTTGATAGTTTGATATCTTGGCCGTCACAAGTGCTCTTTTGTCCATATCACGCTGTCTTTTGTCATTTGTATTTCTTTTCTTTGAACCTTCGCGCCTGCGCAGTGGAGAACCCGTGCAAATACCACAACGATGCCAAGTGCACCGAGGCGTGCACCCAGTTCAAGAAGCTGCCGCACGGGTACTGCCGGGGCGACCACTGCGAGTGCAGCACGCAAGCCAGGGCCGTGGTAGAGAGTGAGTCTCAAACAAGCTCCCACTAGGATAGTGTGTCTCAAACATGCTATCCGTGAACTCCCCCTTCGTTATTTAGCAGCACGCGGCTTTGCAAGAGAGAGAATAAACATTTATTAGCGAATGTATATACAGAGAGCCTTCGTTGGATGGGGCCCTAAGTCCAGGAATTCATTGTTTTGCAAGACCCTGCGAACCCGCTGTACCAGCTGCTGCTGCTGTTCCTGCCGGCGTAAGCTGAGCAGTGCGGACTCCCACGAGCTGCTGTTTGGGAAGGGAGCATTCTCATGCGGAGTGGTACACTGTCGTTACGGGTCCACAGAAGGAGTAGTAGAGGGTCGCATCAAAGCTATTCAGCACGTAAGGCAAGAAAAGAGAGAGTTTTAGTACTGCGTACGCTGCGTACGTGGTGGCGTTGCGTACGTAAGGACGCCACGTTCTGCGTAGTGCGCATGCGCAGACCACAACGCGCACGTATCGCGTTACGTACGCAGCCGCTACGTGCGCATGCATGAGATGCGTGCGTGCGTACGTATGAGGTGATCGCGCCGCTCTCGAACAAGTTCGTGACAGTGCGAGACTTTGTTTTGCAAAATGGCGGCATCGAAGGCAAGCACCGACCGGCTCTGTGGCTTAAAATATGGCCATAATCAGGCTAAAACTCTTGGATTGGCTCACATTGGCTGTCAACAACACGTGCTTCTATTTTGATCTACCAGATGGCGCAACACGCTTCACGCTCGTTACGTACGCGGGTACTACGGCGTACTAAAAGCCGATTAGGGGCAGACGACGCCATGAAACGCAAGGCGCTTGCGTGATGCGTACGTAGCACCATTCCGCAGTACTAAAACTCTCTAATGAATCGGTCCGCAGTTGCGGCCAAACGACAGCATCTGCTCTGTTAAGTGAAGGATGAGGAGAAGTATACGTATAACGGCTTCGTCGGTATAGTACTCTAGCGTCGCGTTGCAGTTCAGTGTGGTTCAAGGAATGAACTCTTGTGACTTTTCTGAGGCGCAGCCGAACTGTTTTCCCACATATTATAGCGAAACGCTCTGTTCGGAGGAGTTACAGAGACGGCACCGCTCTTAAGCATATATATATATATATATATATATATATATATATATATATATATATATATATATATATATATATATATATATATATATATATATATATATATATATATATATTTGTATTCAAAGGGGTACGCTATGCGTTCACGATGTGGTGAAGCGTCACCATAGAACAAAAAAAAAAACACTAAGTTTTAGTCATTCTGCAGACCGCGGTATCAACGTTCTTCTCAAAACCTACAGATCGCCGGCACATATGACCCATATACGAGATATGAGAAGGGCATCCTTTTAAATGGCAAAGCTAGGTGACATTTTCTTCAAATGCCACCCCCCTCCCCCGCGGGGCTTTAACTTCCTTCTATATCACGGCTTCCCACCCTTTACAATAGCTAACGCACAGTGCGTGTTAACTGTAGTGGTGTTATCTTTGACGTTGATGCGTTTATTTTTTTTTAGATCCGAAAGAACTGACCCTATGAATTTGGTCACTAGACGGGTGGGCCAATACTCATTTCTTTAAGCCAACATAATTCGGTGCATCGTTTACAATAACAGCAAAGTCATGTAAAGGTATATTCCTTAATTTTACCATTTCTTAACATGCTGTTCTCTTCAAAAAGTTAATTTTTCTGTCTTTATATATGCGTGTGAGCATTTCTTGCAAAGAAATCATCAAAAACGAATATTGAAAGACATATGAAATAAAAAACACATAAATAAATGATAAATGAATAAATTAATTTACATTCTACATAAAGTGTAATGACCACACGCAGTGCGCTTTATAGCAAAGAAGTTTGTGACGTCACACTGTCTTGCCAGCGATGAATATTCAGGTCAGTCAGTCAGTCAAGAACTTTATTGGAAGGTCCTGCTGATTTTAAGCCATCAGGGGTTTCACTAGGGGCACCCCAGCAGCCGCTGCTATATATATGCGACGCCAGAGTCGGGGCGGAAACGAGGTGGCATTCCGCCCGTTTTTGGTGGACTGCTTTTAGTTGTTGGTGAGAATCGGACCTCCCGAGTGCTTCCTACGATAACTTTGTCTCTGGTGACAGCTGTGTCTGCATTCGACAGTCAATTTCGCGCTAGATCATGACCGGCACACAGCAAACGAACAAAACACACAGACAGGACGGAAAACGCGTGCCGTGTTCAAGGATATTCAATTTCCGCGGGCTTTTACCTTCCTTTGAGCCCCGCCGCGGTGGTCTAGTGGCTAAGGTACTCGGCTGCTGACCCGCAGGTCACGGGTTCGAATCCCGGCTGCGGCGGCTGCATTTCCGATGGAGGCGGAAATGTTGTAGGCCCGTGTGCTCAGATTTGGGTGCACGTTAAAGAACACCAGGTGGTCGAAATTTCCGGAGCACTCCACTACGGCGTCTCTCGTAATCATATGGTGGTTTTGGGACGTTAAACCCCACATAGTATCAATAAACCTTCCTTTGAGCTCATGCCTTATTTTGGGTGCTTCTGGCGCGTTTCGCAGCCGCGCCGGACCCGTGCCGGACACAGGACACTGGCGCGTGCGTCGTGAGCTGCGTGGGTCTCTCCTTCGACATGGGCCAGTGCGTGGAGCAAATCTGCCACTGCCTCAACATGAACGGCGAGCAGCCCGGCACTAGGCTTAACGGTGAGGCACTTTGTTCACAGCAGTGGGCGCTACTTCAGTGGAGTCCGAGCTGTCCTTCGCAGTATAGTCAGAGATCCTCCGAAGGATTCTGCTCAATGTGCTGCACAGGAGTCAGCTACTCCACAGACGTCAGCGCTTCTTCACAGATAGGCTGTGTCGGCGCAACCTTACAAGGGAGAGATGGCACATCTATCTATTTGAAGTTTGAAGTTTGAAGTTTGAAGTTTATTATTATTAACAGACTGGCGATACATAAAATGAAGAAGACGTTTTACAGACTAGGGTCCCATAGTCCGAAGACTGTAGGGGGACCCACGATGAAGAAAGCATGTAAACAAGTGCAAGGGCAAATGGCAAGACAATGTAATATTAACAAAACAATGCTATAAAGCAACTATAGAAAAATAACGAAGCGATAAAACATAGTAATAATCACAACTTCAACAAATACAATCGCTAAGTCAAAATGCAAAAAGGACAACATAGAATAATTTATAGTGATAGAAGATATAATTTCAAAGTTTTTTTGAATGTATACAAGTTGGATAGAGACTTTATATTTGGTGGAATAGAGTTCCATAATGAAATAGCTGTGAATGACAAAGACTTTATGCCGTAATTAGTGCAAACTCGGGGTAGTAATAAATTTCGCTCCAATGCGAAGCGAGTGCGGTTAGTGTTTATCAATAAGTCACAGTTGATGAGGTCGAAGGGTAGCCGACGGTGAATTATATTAAAGAACAAACAAGTACAATGAAATTCAAATAACCTACTAATACTCAGAATATTGTATTGTCTAAGCAAAGAAATAGCGTTCGAACGACGAGGGCTGAAAGTGATAATGCGGATTGCTTGGTTCTGTATATGTTGTACAGATGAGATGTACGAGTGATAGGTGTTGGCCCAGGTAATTATGCCATAGTTAAAATGACTATGAATAAATGAGAAGTAGAGCGATAGTAATGCATTAGTGGAAAAATATGGCCTAGCTTTAATCAATGCACGAATACCAAAAGCAGTCTTTTTCTTTATGTCTAATAAGTGTAGACCAAAATTAAGGGTTATGTCTAAACGTACACCGAGAAAAGAAACAGTATCACAAGCATGGATAGTATTAGGACCCATAGTTATAGCAGCAGAAGTTAACAAATGTTTATGAGCAGACCTGAAAACCATGAACTGAGTTTTAGAGGGGTTTATCGTTAGATCATTGTTGTTGCACCATAAAACTACATCGCTGAGTACAGAGTTTAGTTTTGATATTAAAGATGGAACTGTTTTGGCCTTACATGATACTGTGGTGTCGTCAGCGTACAAAACACAATGTGCAGAGCAAATGACGTCAGGGAGATCATTAATATAAATAATGAATAGGAGGGGGCCAAGAATGGACCCCTGCGGAACACCTTGATTGGTAATCTTAATGTTAGAGTAAGAGCCACCTGTAAAGACCACATTTTTTCGGTTAAACAGGTAACTTTTCAGAAAATTTAAAGCTGGTCCAGTAATACCATAAGAATCTAACTTATTGAAAAGAATGGAGTGATTGAGCGTGTCAAAGGCTTTAGTTAAATCCAAAAAGACTGAACCCGAGAAGTTACCAGTATCAATGGAATGTTTGATGAAGTCTGTCAAAGAAAGCAGAGCAAGGTTAGTGGAGCTTCCATGACGAAAACCAAACTGGGAAGGTTTTATAACATTAAATTTCGAAAGGTAAGAACTAAGACGCTTTACAAACAGTTGTTCAATTAGTTTACTTAATGATGGAAGAATAGAGATAGGCCTATAATTTTTAATATCATCTTTATCGCCTTTCTTGAAAATTGGTATAATTTTTGCACGTTTTAATGAGTCAGGAAAAGAACCTTTAGAAAAAATGAGATTGATTATATGGGTTAAGGGCTGAGAAATTATATGAGCCACCATCTTTAAATGGTGTGCACAAATGTTATCCAGACCGGGAGAAGTATTTTTAAGATTACGAATAGCTGATACTATTTCGTCAGAGGAAGAGGGAAAGAGAAAAAATGAGTGAGGTAAGCGCGGCAAACTAGGTGAAGGAACATTTTTTGAGGAATTGGATGACGAACAAAAATACTCAGAAAACGCATTAGCAATGTCGTCAGAGTGACAATAAGTAGCGTTATGGTGAGTGATTTTCGTTATGGGCGAGTTAATTGTAGGCGAATTCAAGAATTCATTGAGCAGTTTCCACTGTTTTTTATGATTATTTTTGTTCTTTATAAATTCCTCATTATAATAGCGTTTCTTGGCAAGTTTTAGCAAAGAGTTAAGAGTATTACAGTAACTTTTATAGCGAAGTGCCAAGGCGATATTAAAGGGTTGTCTCTTAACTTTCCTATAGAGGTTATCCTTCTTTCTGAGACTGGTTAATAAGGCAGATGTCATCCAAGGGCTTTGAGGCTCTTGGTATTTCTTGTTATAAGCAATAGTGTGAGTACTAGAAGAAACAGCTTCTGAGAATAAAGAAGAAAATGTATCAACCGCTGATTGTGGATCAGCCTGCGAGCTAACTTTGGACCAGTCACAGTTTGAAATTGCACTGATGAAATTGTCTTTGTCAAATCGCAGTGCAGTAAAAATTGTGTTGATTTGAGTTATAGGGCTATCAAATGTGATGAAGATGGGATAATGATCGGTAATATCGACATCAACCACCCCGGACACTCTAGGATTAAAGTTACAAAAAGCATGATCCAAAAGAGTGTTAGAGCCACGTGGGTTGGATCTAGTGTATGAATCGATGAGGCACGTTAACCCGTACCCTAGAAGGCAATCATTATAGGCACTTGTAGTTCTTGAATGAGAATCTAATAGGTTAATGTTGATATCGCCTACCAACAATACATTTTTGTTCTCCATTGATAGAGTGTTCAGGACAGTCTCAAGAGCCGATAAGAACTGGATAAATGAGGAGGAAGGTGAGCGATAGATGCAAGCGAGTATTAAATTTTTTTGATTATGAGTAACCTGTGGCTGTTCAATTTCTATCCAAACTGATTCGCAATAGGGGATGGTAATATGAAGGTCCAATCTGCGAATATAATTAATGCCAGAAGAAATGAAAATGGCTGAGCCACCATAGTTGTCAGATGCACGATGACAGTATTCAGATTTGTACGACGTAAAACCATATAGATTAGCATCCACATCGGAAAGCCAGGTTTCTGATATACATATAAATGAAAAAGAGTGTCTGGTAGAGTGAATGAAACTATTAATGTTGTCGTGATTCCTTCGCAAGCTACGTGCATTGAAATGAACTAGAGAGCGTTGATTGTCAGATAGAAACGAAATAAATTCTTCAGCAGAAAAGGACATGATTGACAAGTACTCGTCAAGGACAAAAAAAAAATTAGAAAAAGAGAGAGAGAGAGATTTATGCGATCGGAGTGACGTATGTCTTCATTACTTGAACGTGTGTAATTTTTCTAATATTGTTTAATTTTTACTTTGATTGTGTATCTTCATGTCTATAGCGTATATTTACCTGTATTCATGATTGTTTCTTGTATGTTTTTTTTTAACTTTTCTCTGCCTTAGCATTCTCTGCGATGTTCATTATCAAGGTAACATTATCGCTTTTCTCGTGAGACGATCTAGTAACTGCTGCCTGTAAGGTCCCTCAGGTCCGTTCAAGCTATTCTTGAGAGGTTTTTGGCTGAGGGCACCCCCAACATGTTTTGTTGGAAAATAAAGTTCAAAGTAAAGTAAGCTCGCCAGAGATAAGATTATGAAGAGAGATGCCATATAAGCACGTTATTGGGATGGGGGGGGGGGGCATTGTGTTTTTTTTTCGTTTAGTACATACTGAATACCGTGGTGTTGTCCTTGCCGGACGGGCATACATCCTTGTACACAAAGCTAAGCATACGTGGTTATAAAGAAATGAATATGAATACACATACACTTGTATACGTACCTAGTAAAAACGTAACAAAATCACAATAGAATGTTCATGCAGAAGAGTACATGTCAACCAGATCGTCACAGGTTCTAAGTGACGATCTGGTTACGAGACATATACATAAATACGAGTCAGCTAGTTCGCAGGAGTCGGCGCCACTTCATAAAAATCGCCCTTCATGGCACTCGGAACGTTATTTTTTTTTCAAAGGAAATCAGAGTAGTGGAAAATAGTTGTGGGTTAAATTTTTTCATAGTGCACCTGCAAGTGGTACACAGTCATTTTGGTGGTTCTTTACTCGCTCGAGCAACAACTATAAAAGTTTGCTATTCCAACATACATCAGGGGACAACTCGTAAACTTGCTGCGCTCTCAACGTTTTGCGTTCAGGGGACTGACAGGTCCCTGGAGCGGCCGTGTTTCCTTAAACCAATGTTGTAGAGTTACGCGTGATCGAATGCGAAAGAGTTAGCTGCTACGCTTACCTCGTATAACCTCGTGATTTATTGATATTGCATTCACTGATTAGCCTTTGCGGCGAAACTCTGATATATATTTTTTCAGACTTTGAAATTATTGATACGAGAGGTTAAATCTTACAAAGGACGTGTGATTTTTGTTTACCTCCAGACGCCAGGGCAGCTGCTTCGAAAAAGAAGGGCGCCAGCTCTGCGGTACAGCCCGAGCGCAGGATTGCGCCCGATGTCCTTGGTCATCCACAACAGCCTCAGCAGCATCTCGGGAAACGGGTGATCAGTTCATCGCAGGAAACCTTCATCCCGCTACTACATTTGGTAAGAATGATTTGGTAAAGATTATCTTTGATTGGATGATACTTGGGGAGGATAAAGGTGTGTTGGCGAGGATGATTTGGTAAGGTCGCGCTTCTCTCTTGAGATTGAATCTGTTTAGCTATAGTCGTTCCTTGTGAATCAGTCGCATAAAACTACTGTAAAGTCGACGGGTATGGGCCACTGTGAGGCTTACCAGAAAGTTATCATCCTCCTAAACGGGTGTGATGTGCCGCAGAAGTTGGGTAAATTCCTGTACTCCACACTGGTAACCCTAAAAAGGGAGGCGGCTACAGTTAGCACAACAAAAAGGCAGTGAAGTGACGGCGGGGAGCCTATAGTATACTATAGGCTCCCCGCCTATAGTATACTATACTCATAACGAGGAAATACTAAAAAACAGGGAAAGCTTCGGTGGCTGCGATATCATCCCGGGGCGATGGAAGTCGTACTCTACTATGGGAGAGCTGAAAGCCGCCCCTGTGGCCTCACACTAGGCCAGGGGTAAGAAGGATGTGTGCTTAGAAGAAAGTGCAACAATTTAGAGTTTTAGGTACTCTACTATGGGAGAGCTGAAAGCTGCCCCAGCATATATCAAGTGTGACCATTGTGTGTATAGAGAAAGGGGTTAACGATTTTGAGTACTTCGTGCTCAACTATGGGAGAGCAGTGAGCCGTCCCCAATTTAGCTATCTAACGCTAATGCAAAAGGACAAACCGCTGAAAAGGCTGCCAGTGAGCACGAGTTTTACCTGGCAACCTTGTCGGATCAGACAGCGCTCAAAGAGCGTCTTTATTTTGCTAGTTTACTTAAGAAAGCCTTCAATTTAAGGCAAATTTTATAGAAGATTGCGTCACCGATACTTTCGTGTTTGAGTTATTTAATGAAAAACAACTATATTTTAATCTATAATTAACGTAGCTTTTAGACTAACAGATCAAAACTACTTCATCTGAAAGTGGGCACTACACCGGAAAAGAACATGCTTCTGAGATCTTTGGAGGGCAAGGAGGTCCTTGTTGGAGGGCAAAAGCTGGCTTCACTATTGCTGGCAAAGCATTGCGGGAGCTTTCACTCTAGCAATCTTTTAGGGGCGAAGCTCCTTAGGCCGTGGGTCTTTCCCTCCTCTTTAGTAGTAGTAGCAGTAGTAGTAGTAGTAGTAGTAGTAGTAGTAGTAGTAGTAGTAGTAGTAGTAGTAGTAGTATGTAGCCACCTCTAGTTAATGAGTTGTTCAATAGATGGTGTTGTGTGTATATGTCCTTGGCATTAATATAACTATGTGGCGTTAGTGGTTTTCGCAGCATATCCACGGAGTGAATGGTCATGAGTGGGACGAAGCGTCCGTCCGTTCCTGCGTCCGTCCGTGCTTCTATCCGCCCATCCATGCTTCCGTCTGTCCGTCCATCCATGGGTCCGTCCGTCCACGCTTCTATCCGCCCATCCGTGCTTCCGTCTGTCCGTCCATCCACGGGTCCGTGCCTCTGTCGATCCATCCATCCGTCCAGAAACACCAACGGATAGACACACGGACGGACGGACGCTTCGCCCCACTGATCATCATTCACTCTGTGGATATGCTGTGATTTTTTTAATGCGGAGCATTTTTTAGTGTTTCGGCGTCGGCGGTGGCATCGTCCACACCCTCACTGCACTTGCTCGCGTCTGGCGTCTCGTGCCGAGCTGTCCAGGAAGACACTCGCAAACCTCTCACTCATCTCCCCCTCTCTCGCCTCGCAAGCCCGACGCAAGCGTCTGCTAGCAAAAGAAAAGACTGCTCGCGCTGCACAACCGTTCACTGGCCCTAGATCACGCGTTCGGAATTCACTTACTAGCGTCTTCGCTTTCGCTTGACGTTGAAAGCAACCCTTCTCCTTCATTGAGTAAATAAGAATAATAAAGAAGAAATAACAATAAAGCATTCCCAAACCATACGCAACATTCACTTGATACCCACACCAATCTGCGATGCATTTACTCAACTTCCCACCATGGAAAGATGCGGACGGCAATTTTTTTTTAAACTTTGGTTTTAACAACGGTTAGGCCGGAGGTTGTGCCTAATTGCGTAGACCAGAAACGGCGCCTGGCTTAGACGTTACTGCACGTCGCTTGGCAATCACTTCGCACAGGTGTGCCTCGCTTCACATGAAAAGAGAACCACACAATTACGTAGAGAGAATGAGAAAAAAAAAGTCAAAGTAACACAGAAGGGAAGACATGGTCTGCATGGACTATATGTCATGGTTACTCTTCAATTGGTATAACACCACCATATGTGCACACACTGTCTAAAACGTTGTTTTTCAATTATTTTTTTTTAGCTGTTACGCTAAATTGTGTGTTGTGTGTTTGTTACGCTTACAGTCTTACACCCTGCGTGCTGTATGCTAGGCACCTTTCAGGGATAAAGAGTAGCCGGTGTCCTATTTGTGCATAAACCCATCTTCGCGTTCCGTCAATAAGAAGAAAAAGAAATGCAAAGAAATAGAGAGAAAGGGAGACAAAGAATGTGATAGAAAGAAGCAGGAAGGGAGAGAGAGAAAGAAAGGAATCATGGCCTAGTTGTATAGCACAGTGAATAAAGGGGTGGTAAAGAGAAGTGTTGTTGACAAGGATGGAAAGGAAGAGAGTAAGTTTACCAGCTCCTCTGTTTTCTTATGTATTCTCGCCACAGCAGTGCGTAACTGCCCAAATTTACTTTTACGTAAAGAAAGATCTCTGAGAGAGAGCCATAAAATTGGGTTCCTCTAAAGTGCAAAAAAAAAAGAGAGAAGTTAAAGTTTGTGCTGTAGTACGCCAAAGACATTTGCCATCGAAAAAGTTTGACTTGCGTTCCTTTCTTGACTAATACTTTCGTTAAGATATGGAGGGTCGGGGATTTGTCAAATGATGAAGTGTCTTTTTGTTCTTTTCCTCGTCCCACAGCTCTCAGTTCCGAAAGGTGAGTAATAATGCTACTTTCCTAAACCTTGTTTGTTTCGATCCGAGTAATTTGGGCGTTCTCAAGCGTTTCTGTTTTTTTTTTTTAATTTCCTGGCCGGAGACTCTTAGAACTATGAATACCTTAGTGCGAATCAACAGACGCCAAATGCAGGTTTCACGTCAAATGTCGACTTTTTCAAACCAGCTCATCTGATTGCTGCTCTGAATACGAGCGTGATAACGTAGGTTGCATTTTTTTCTGGAGTGCTCGATCTGTGTATGCAAATGAAAAAAAAAAGACAAGAGCAAATTGTCAAAGATATTAAGTACTGTGTTTTGGATTTTTTTATTTTGTCACAAATACGGACGAAAGTGATAAAAAGCTTATTCGGGCTCCCTGTAACATAACAAACAAACGTAACTTTGATCGTGACCACCAAAGCATCTAGTAGAAACGAATATTTCTTGGCATGAACCATGTTAAACAACTATTTGTACTTAGCAGTCATGAACAGCTATTTAGGAAGTGGCGTGTTATCAGTGTAGTATGAAATGAACATGGACAAATGTGTGTGCTTCGGAATGTTCTTGTGTGAAGTGAACTCTTGGCAGTCCATCGCTCAGTAATTTCGTGATTTGTTTCAAGCTTGTACTTTAGAATTGATTTATTTACATGTTTGCTTATTTTCAGTAATTATATTATGGCTTTGATTCAGGGCATGGAAAAATGACATTTTTCATGTGCTATAAAGCTCAACTTTTTCACAGCTGTCAAGGCATAGAATAAAAGGGAAACGCTAGATTTAAAGGCATACACAATAAAAACATTAACGAAATTCTCATAGTTAGCAACATGCCAAATCACGACGACTTGCCTCTCGTGGTGAGGCGATGCCTCGTGTGGGGGAGGACGTTGCTTGTGATGTCACAGTTTGTAGCAGCGTCTGGTGAAATTCAGTATTCGCGTAATATCACACCCGCCTGACGATATTCGTGGCCACGCTGAAATGCTGCTACAATGTTCCAGTGCGATCATGGCCAATTCCATTCACCCGCTCACCCAAAACGTATGTTAAATGAACGATAAAGTCAAATAACACTGTGTCAGAGTGAAAGCGCAATGTATCACAATGCCTAAAACAATATTGTTATCAGGAGCAGTGCCCTACTTACCGAGAAATAAGGGTAAATGTACGAGAACACATGCGCCACGAGTAGGACATTCGCAAAATAATCCCAATTACGTCAGACTTACAACTTACAATCAATCACTAATAATTGAAGTAGCTGCACTAAATTAAAAACCTTCTCTGCATCAAGAGACGTAATAAAATGCTGCTTGTTCGTTTCTGTTTGATTCTCAGAAAAAAGAACCACCGAACGTTACTAGAAGAAATGGCGTGGCTGGTTCCAAAGTTCAATTTTCGCCTGGTTAAACTAGACAGGTCGTGCCATCTAGCGGGACCTAGTTGTACCAGTCATGCCTACCATCTCGGAGGCCATGGCTAGAAATTGTTCAATGACCGTTGTTGCTGCTGTGGCCCTCTATACTTTCGGTTTGCTGTTTGCTCCTACTAGTATCGGCGGTCGCGCAGTGAAGCCAGGCAAGGTTGTGCACGGCGATAGTTCCGTGAGACGGCTACTTTCAGGCGGAGGACTTGAAGCGAGCTAACGTGAGGCGAACCATTGAAACGTGACATTATTTCAAAATAAGCACTTCCTTGGCAAAAAATTAGCACTACTATAGTCTCTGGACTGCTATTTCAGCAATCAACATCCACTTAACATTTTCCTTCAGTGTCTTTTTAGGGCGAAAGACTAATGGCCTATACTCGGAGCCTTTCACCGTCTCTACGTCCGTACCCTGGAACGGCGCCAGCTGTAGCTTCTTTCTCTCACACTCTAAGCAATCAGATGAGGGGACAGCGACGCATGGGGTGCGTGTTACTATTGAGCGAGGCCATTCTGAGGGGCGTCAGCGACGAACATCGCTTGTTTTTGAGCTGTTTCGTAGAGTTATACGGGAATGCCAACTTTTTTTTCAGACTGTGTCACTGCTTCTCATCGAGACAATTGTAAAAGCCATGTTTACTTACACTGGTTGATCGAAAACTATCGTCAAGGTGACCAAATAAGCAATTAAATTGGAAATTTCTGGTGAGGGGATAGTTGCGTGTGGAATGGGCAGCGAAAGTCTCTTGGTTTGTTCTAAAACTTCTGTGGGGTTCTCTCAAAGGTCAGTTCTATGACAGCTGTCGTTGCACAGATCGCGAGCCACGGAATGCTTTATTCAGCCCATTCCACAAGCTATACTCCAGCAACTTCACGACATATGCTTAACCATTTACAGCGGAGTGTCGCGATTCCATACACACCGAAAAAAATCGAGTAAGGATGTTCCAAAATGTGTGCCGCCTTAAATGCTTTATGCTAGAACCAGTTTTCTTTTTTTTGTAGCTGATGGCGAAGAGTAGGAAGTGCTTGATGTTCTTGTTTTTACGGAGCTTGTGGCTCATACCCACTGTGGGGGGTTGGCCAAGAATTGAGTGGTCTTCTAAAATATTATTAAATTTTAGAGTAAAGAAAACTATCAAATGAAAACGTCACAAAGTTTAAAACGAATTGTTGATGCTCCCTGAAATGTACCTACTATGAAGTTTTTGTATTAGTAATAGATAATAACCTCGATCAAACCCTAACTTTAAAAAAATAAGAAAAGTTGCAACCGCTCTCATTTCGATCTTTTTTGCCTCAGTGATGTAAGTTGTACCTTCAATGATTCAGCTTATTGAGTGTGCACCAATGAGGTTTTTTAAACCTCCTTTGTGTGCGCATACACAAAAGGGAGCACACGACATGCTTCGTAGTTCTGAAGTACCCTTCTTGTGGCAAGGTGCTGTCTTTTGTGGAACATGGAGAATTCGCGACATACATAAAAATATGCATTACAGGCGCATTTTAGATGATTCAACTGCGTAATCATTCAAAAGGTTCCCATTTACAGCTTGAAAGTGAAGAAAATCCTCATGTCGTACGGAAGTTTTATAATTCGGGCATTAAAGGGTCAATGATACACAGCGTCGTGTGCGGACGTGTTTCTACGCTAGTTGTGTATACTTTAGCTCCTACAGTATACTGTCCACAGTACTGTAAAATGCAATGCTTCGTATTCACAAAGACACTATTGTTACTTTTCGGTCACCCAGTGAACTGTCTGCGTTATTGCAGCAGAAAGGACGTTTCTGAAAGCCATGACCGAAAAATGAACGGTCTTTCTAGTAAACTCTGTCCAAAGCAAGCAACTCCCACGCATTTCACAGGCCATACCTTTTAAAGGCGGAGCTTTTTAAGCTTAGCGAAATCCCCTGTAGCGACCACGAAAACAAAGTTCATATATGCCAAGTAGTTCCCGGCATAGCATAACCATGCAAGTACGATATAGGGAACAGCTGGGGAAGGGAAGTATAATGATGAAGAGAAGTGATGCGAGGGTGATGGTGAAGAAGAAGAAAACAGGAGAGGGTAAAAGGTGAAGTAGCCTTGTGTAGTAAGGTTTAACGAGGCGATGGGAAAGGATGAAAAAGAGGAGGTGCGAGGGCGAAGCGTATCACAGCCATACTTAGTTAAAGGATAGCAAGGGGTGAGAACGAGAAGTGAGTGTGGAAGAATAACGGGAGAGGATAATACATTTATTTTTATTTATTTATTTATTTATTTAACAATACTGTCCATCCCGTCAGGGATTTTTACAGGAGTGGTTTGGAAAAAGTCAACAAACATTCTATATTCACATACTTATACAATTGTATTGGTAGCCCCGCCGCGGTGGTCTAGTGGCTAAGGTACTCGGCTGCTGACCCGCAGGGCGCGGGTTCGAATCCCGGCTGCGGCGGCTGCATTTCCGATGGAGGCGGAAATGTTGTAGGCCCGTGTGCTCAGATTTGGGTGCACGTTAAAGAACCCCAGGTGGTCTAAATTTCCGGAGCCCTCCACTACGGCGTCTCTCATAATCATATAGTGGTTTTGGGACGTTAAACCCCACATATCAATCAATTGTATTGGTACAAAAAATCATGGTATAAAATGATAACAATTATGGACCTACATTATTAACGAGACACATGTCTCAGTAACATGTGCACACACTGAAAAAAAAACACGAAAAAGAAAGAAAAAGGTAAGCACGCAACATACAAAGTTGGTACCAACTTCCACCTTTTTAAACCACAAATGTACTGGCAGGGAGGACAATGATCAGTACAATCCTGATAGCGTCGCTATCATGTAGCTGATAGAACGGCTTGGTCAGCAAGTTCGCAAAATTTGTCGGCAGTGGGCTGCGCAACCACCGTCTCGGGTAAAGCATTCCATTCTCGCACTGCCCACGGGAAAAACGAAGAACCAAAAGTATTGTTGGTGCATAAATATTCTTGCAGTGTAAGGTAATGCTTGTGATGGGTTTCTCTAGAAGTGTTGAAAGAAATGTAGGTGTTCGAATCTATTTTACGTTTGTTGTGTAGGATTAGGTACATAAATTTGAGTCGGGATAGCATCGGCATAGCATACATAGATTTGGGTCGGGATAGCATACATAAGGACATAAACAAGAACGATGAAAGAAGGGAAGAAGAAACTGCAGAAAGATGACAGAAAGAAAGAAGCTGAAGATGAAGGAAGTTGCGAAACTCCATTTGATGATGATGATGTTGATGATGATGATAGCATATTTGCATACATCTCACCCACGCTGGGGGATTGTCTAAGAAATGAATAAATTTAAGCTGATCACATGATTCTATGAGTAATACGTCAGAGAACATTTATAAATAATGATGCAAATTCAGGTACACGAGTATGAAACCACCCTGTTTCCTTGGGAAAAAAAAAAACTTCCTACGGCGGAACAGAGATCTGCGTCCGTCAAGCGGTGCCGCATGTTTTCCAGTTCCACTCGTTTTCTGAAGTTTAAGAGATGCTGAACAGGCTTCGATCATAAAGTTATTGCACTATCATTGTAAAAGATGCCGGACGCCATTATCTATTTATATGTTGTCCGGGCTTGACGTTGCAACATTTCGTTTGTCTCTCGCAAAGGAACAAGGCACAATGAGGAAATTGATGATGGGGCGTAGTTCATTTCCCAGATTACCAACGCAGTATTGCGGTGTTTCTGTATTAATTATTTATTTTTTTGTATACGAGCGCAGATCAGTACGACATGGACCCGTGTTACCGAGGGACGCAGGATCAGTGCAAGACGCACTGCGGGAAGCTGCACTTCAACCAAGCCACTTGCGCGCTTAACGTTTGCTGGTGTGGCAAGTCGACTTCGAAGAGATGACCGCTTGCGACTATTAGCCTTGCGCGCTTTGACCACCTCTCGTGCAGGAAGACTTTGCACCGTCATTCACAGTTAGAGATGTGGTAATAAAGTGGCACGGAAGAGAAGAAAAAAAAAAGACGACATTAGAGCTGCAATTACACATAATCGTTCTACTACAAAAATGAAGGCTACTGTAATTCTTGACTTAGGTGCCTGGTAATCGCGGGTCATGGTTCACATTCCGTGGTCAATAGTCCACGTAGAGATGCGAAGGGGAACGCGAATCCACCGTGGTACAGCGCGGCTTCCCAAGCGTAGCACGACAAACCAACTTTCCCTGTGCAAATTTCTTCCGCAACTTGCAGCCGCAAATTGTCCACTTCCCAGGTTAATCGGTGTACATCCTCGAGTGCTGCAAACGACGCGGAGGCTGACATTCAGTAATGGATTTTCTCAATCTCTAAACGCGATTAGAGTTGGTTTTTGGTTAAAAAAGTGACTAAAGCAGGTATGAGGGGAAATATGAAAGATATAACGCTATTTTGGAAAGCTTAATAAAACGCCTGAAATATGCCAAAAGTTTCGACCACCTGTGCTTCTTAAACGTGCACCTAAATCTAAACACGCGGGCCTCATGCATATTTGTCTCCATCGAAAAAGCGGCGAGAAAGAGATTGAAAATGGTCGTATCTGCACAGTATAGCAAGTATAGTTTAAGTGCATGTGCTACAAAATCTTCTGCATACTGTAGACGTTGAAAAGAGTTCTATAGGCCATCCCAACACAAAACACAGATGACGTTATGAAAGTCATTTTGAGCCATAACAAACACAGGAGAACAACTTCTGTTCGACGGAGTCCAGTTGGTATTTGAAACCATGTCAAAGCACTCAGGTCGAGAGTTCTGGCTACTTGTGTTCAGTGTGTTGGGCGGAATGTCTTGTGCGATCACTCGAAGCATGGCAGCACCATCATACCTTGAAGGAATATAGTAGGTTTTCTCGTCGTCTTGGTCGCTCGTTGCAGTGCAGTGACTTGGCAACTAATGAACTATCATTAAGGGTTTTCTTTATATAACGAGAAATGTAGACATGTCTGATCTCGGTTATGAGTTGTTCCAATGATCCATGCCTCAGAAATGCTCTGAAACTTTTCGCACCAGGTATGTTTTTACAAGGTTTTCGGAAGACGCTCTAAACTCAAAATAAGTGCTTCATCCGAAGTGCTTCAACCTAAAACAAAACGTCTCTCAATGCTTGGGCCAAGAAACAAAAACGAAACGGAACCCATGCATCCTTGCGAAGCGAGTCATAATCGAGCGGACGAGGCTGTGGGTATCCTATGTGTAAGGAACTGTACGTTGCCCGGGTGTTGCCTATATGACATTTACAATTGAAGAGAGGTATAAGCTGTCCCTATGCCTCTTCAGCAGCGGTGTGTACAACTGTGCACATTAACCTCGGAGGCACGTCACGCACCGTGTGTTTCCCCAAATGTCTTAAAACGCAGTGCGCACACTCGTGCAGTCATCCTGACTAGAAAGCTAAACTCGGAAATGTTTGCAATATGTCGCACAAGGTTCTTTTACTAAACAAATAGTTCATTTCCATTCATTCATTGTTTCATATGCAAGCAGGATATGCGTAAGCTTGCTTAAAGGGTGCTGCAATTTTCGTATCCGTGAAACAGTGGTCATCACTTTTGAGTTGGTTGGGAGAAAGCGTCCTTGAGAAAGATTATGCTTTGTGCAAACGAAAGTTTTTAAGTGAATCAGGGAACGTGGTGCTTACTTTATATTTTTGCATATAGTTTTCGTTCTCACTTTGGTATGATCTAGAAGGCGAGGCGAATCTGGCTTGTTAATTTTTGATACCAGTCTACATATTGCGCACCATAAGCGTGGCGTGTAGTCATGACATGTCATGATTTTCACTTTAGGGTCTGTCATTTAAGTTCACCATGCAGTCATGTCATACCATACCAGTCTTGTAATATGTCATGTGAACGAAACCACCGCAAGAGCAGCAAGACCACGAAATTAATGGCATTCATGACATACATTTTAAGATTTTCAGCAGGTTGTGACTAGTCAGTTATGTTCGTCATACAGTCATGGTACGTGACATACCAATTTCGGTATAGATACCATTATCGAGACGACCAGGAGAGCCAAAAGTCGTAGGCGGCTAGATAGATAGATAGATAGATAGATAGATAGATAGATAGATAGATAGATAGATAGATAGATAGATAGATAGATAGATAGATAGATAGATAGATGGATGGATGGATAGATGGATGGATAGATGGATAGATAGATAGATAGATAGATAGATAGATAGATAGATAGATAGATAGATAGATAGATAGATAGATAGATAGATAGATAGATAGATAGATAGATAGATACGGTCAATTAAAGTTGCCGAAGTTCACTAGAAATGCTTCGCATTTAAAAAGTGCAAAAAACTATTCTTTGAAACGGTCGCGTGGCACGATGCGGATGACGTGCGGCCCGTGTCTACAATCAAGATTGCCTAATAATGGCCGGTAGAAGAGACAGCGTGCCTGGTTCAAAACACAGCTGGTCCTCCTTTCAAGCAAGCGTCAAGCGTGCCTGTAAAGTGCTGCCATCTTCTCGCAATCGTTCGATTAAGACGGTCAAAACTTCATTACTCCCAAAAGAGCGGACCGGCCGAGAGGTCGGTTACGCTGCTTAGAGGAGGTCAGCGGGGATCCATTGGGACACCGCGGCCTCCAATGCACGTGAGATTGATTACCCGGCGTTGCTGTGCCGAGTCAGTGATATGCAGAAGGGACTCCCATGTATCTTCTCGGTGAAAAGCGTCAGCGTACTGTGGGCACGTCCATGCCATGTGTATAAGGGTGGCCGACTGTGAGCAGTATTTACAGTTTGGTGTCGTTCGAGAAAGTTATTGCCTCGAATACTACTAGCACCCAAAATGTTGAACTCGAAGCACGTGCGTAACCGCAATGAGTTGAACGCTTGTCTCGGTCCTAGATTTTTTTTGTCATGGTCGCAGATAAGGTTACGCAAGGAGATGGCTTGTTCATTTGTATAGACCAGCTTTTACTGCCTTCCTTTGTAGACCCACGTTTTTATTCACTAATGTTTAGTTTAGTGCACGCACTGTTGTAAAATCACTTTTAGGTATAGTTAGAAGACAAGTGAGGCTGCGTTCTTGAAAACGGTACAATTGGCACCTATCAGCTTATCAATTGAAAGCTTGTGTCTGGAGAAAATTGTTGATATGCTTCAAGTCTAAACCATAATAAAGGCAGCTTGATTGACTCCCTGAATACGCCTGCATTTCTCGCATACGACGTTCGCAATAGAAATGGGAACCTTAGGTCATTATTCTACATGCGAGGGTAATACTGCATAAATTTCCGTAGCGATTAGATTAAATTTACACACGAAGTACTATTATACATTTAGTGCTACGTGTAAGAACATCTTCATATTATTACAATATGTTCTATTAAGTAACTTGAAAAAAGGAATCAGCATTCTAGATACTCGAGACTTAACAGGATTTTTATGCAGTTGTAAGTGTTAGAGCTTCAAAGAATAAGAACTTGCACGAAGATGACTAAATTAAAGTGTATTGCAAAATTGCCAAGCTAAGCTGAATTTTTCACATATTTGACGTATGTAGGTTTCGCCAAGGATTTCCACGCGAGGACTTGAACAAAGTGCAAAAACTTCCGACAACTTCGACATCTAGCGGTCGCAAATTTTGCATACCGAAATAAAATGAATGATAAATTGTACAAGTTTGCTTGTTCGCTGTAGGTTGGTTGAAAAAGAAAAGTAGGCCGCGGTAAGTTATGTAACGTATGCATAGAAGTGTCATTGAGCTGATACGTTTGATCTTACAAGTAAAGTAATATTTTAAAAAATTTAGAACATTAAATAATTTTTAAAACCAGAAAATTGCATAAGCGCAGAAGACGCATTACGAATTGTATATTGAAAACCACACTATTTGATGTCAAGTAGGGTATGCTAAAATACATAAAGAAGATTTTTTTTTTGCTGAAGCGACATTTTGGTTGCTTTAACGGTTTATTTCATGCGCAGGTGGGGATGACGTACGCTTGACAAAGCAGTACGTGTTGCGTTATTTTGTATCGGCGAAACAGTTGTCACCACTCCACAATCGGTACGAATAAAAAGCTTGTCAGAATAATTATGTAGTGCGTAGATGATGTTTTCAGGTGAGTTTCTTTACGTTATACTTCATTTGTGTGGTTGCATACCCCTTCTTTCAATCGTTTTGGACGTCCTTAGTGGTGACGAGTTATTTGCTTGGGTATGAGAACCAGTAAAATTACTCCTTAGAAATGCATCAGTGTGAGAGGTGAAGAACCTACGTCAACCTACCACATTTTACAGTTAGAATGGCAATTATGTTCAGCTTCTCCGCTCACCCAACAAGTGTAGCGTGCTTTTTAGCAGCGGAGTCGTTTCGTCGTTTTGACAACAACATAATTGAAAAAAAAAAAGAACCACCTTAATTTTCTTTTCCAAGGAACTGTACTGACGTATCGAGCAAGAATATTTCGTATGTAGTCGAGCTCATGAAGTGCATCAATACTGCTGATTGTTTCTGCGAACTTGTACTACACTCGTAGCTTCAGAGAAACAAAAAATAACAAGACCGATGACATGGCTGCTATGAGAGTACAGGGCACTTGTACTTTGAGTGGGTTTTCTCGGCACAAGTTAGCTTTCTGCGAGAGTGACTGCTGCTTTCTTCCTAGTCACCTCGAGGACACAATAGCTGGAAGGCGTATCTGAGGTGGCATGTTCTCTTGTTGAAGAAAAAAAGATTGCACGTTAGAGAATCACAGATGAATTACGTTCCACGCGAGCAGGTAAGAAAAAATGCGATGTAATTGTGATTTGAAGTGCCCTAAGTATACACAATGATGGAAAGAAGTAGGTAAGAAAAACATGCAATGTAATTGCAATTTGAAGTGCACAATGAGGGAAAGAAATTTATATGTCGGTGTTGTGTCTGCTATGCGCCCGTGATTCAAGGTGAAGCTTCACAAGCTAAAACTACACTAGGACAAGGTAAACTGCACGTAGTGGTATTCGCGCCATCATGCGAATGCTTCTTATTGAAATTCGTGTGGTTACATCGCAACCCGCTAGCTGGTAGGTAAGCTGAGAAGCGCCTCTCGTTGAGTACAGAAATGGAACACAAGAACAGTGGTCCCTGAAGCCTTTATAGAACTGTCCTGTCAAGAAGCCGCAACAAACCATCAGTATTTTTTTTTGAAGTAGACTAATGCACTTGCACCAAAAAAGACATTCTCAGACACTAACGAACATTTCTTTAACACGTAATAAGTGGTCACTTGAAAAAAAGTATTCAAGCGAGCCATTTTACGCATAGACGTTCACTACTACGCTGTGGGGGTCCGTAACTAAACATTTGTGATTGTATCGAAGTATCTTAAGATAAAGTTGGGAAGTACTGGGTAGGATTCAATTGTGGCGTGCAGTAGTGTCTTGTATCTGTGTCTGCAATGCTTCTTGCGTGAGTATCTTGTATCGTATTGCGATACAATTTCAAGGTGTCTGTGCACAGCCCTGCCTGGTAGGCCCCCGATGTGCACAAAGTTACTGCCTTTACAAGGAACACGTTGGTTCACTTCGGGACGGTTGGCTGAAAACAAAAAAAATAATAAAACGCCGCATAGTTAAGCACACGCCCACTGCATCGCATGCAATCCATTGCTCCATGGCATATGACATACCAACATTTTCAAACCTTATCTCTTCTTCTTTTTATCCGGCCTTACTTCATGTGTCTAAATTTCATTTCAAGAGCGCGCACTGCATCAACCGCGAATATTTCTGATCTTAAAAGAACTTTCCCCCAAAAGACACTACAGAACAGGAAGGACGGGTGTACCGACCATTCCATTCAAAACTCCCTAAAGAAGACAGCGTGATCACCAGAAGCCTGCAACGTCAGACGCATGCATATACACGGAATATTGAGGTATTGCCTCTACCGAATGACGCATGGCTACATGTGCCCTCTCTGCGGCGTACTGGACACCCTAGCACATTTGTTCCTGGAATGCCAGTGCCACGCAAACCAAGAGATGCAAGCGGGTCGGGACGTGAACCAAGCACCAAAAAATGAACAACTACCTCATTGAAACGTAAAAGGCCAAGCTTGTCCTCGAGGACATGGAAGACCAGACGAGTTGTCCAAGAGGGCAATCGAAGCCAGAGGGTTCCTGAGATATAAAGAACACTTTCATCTTAGGGTGGCACCGGGCATCGCTCGGAAGTGTGCTTTAAAATAAACGTTTATTTCTCTTTCTCTATGATTGGAAATATTTACAAGGTAACAATGCTTATATATTGCTAAACGCTATGCGACACACCTTTCACTCCCGCTACCGTTTTCGAGAGCACATTTTATGCATATATAAGCTCGTATTTTCACGGACACTTGTAGTTTGTAGTTTGCACTGAAACCAACAAACTGTTGGGTAACCGTGTTCGTCCCTCTGCGGTGGCTGCATTTCCGATGGAGGCGGAAATGTTGTAGGCCCATGTACTATGATTTGGGTGCACGTTAAAGAACCCCAGGTGGTTTCGACCCCAGGTGGTCGAAATTTCCGGAGCCCTCCACTACGGCGTCTCTCATAATCATATGGTGGTTTTGGGACGTTAAACCCCAGATATCAATCAATCAACGGTGTTCGTCCCTTTAAACTCCCTCCAATTTTATATATTTGATAAAGACCTTTGTGAGCGGTTTTGACCAGACAAAGCAGGAATGACACGCACCCATCGGCGAAGTGGGAGCAGCACTTGTCTTACGTAGGCATGTCGAATAACCGATGCGAAAAAATATCGCCACATGTTACTATCGGATTCAGCCCATTGAGGGGAAACAGGATTCGGCGCCAGACGATCACGTGTCCAACTCGGCGCTGCTAGCCAGGCTGTCACACGTTGCTGTTTCCCCTGCTCTTCTCTCGCCTGCTTTAGAAGAGTGCATTTCGCATTTCCAGCATCCGCTTGCTCTGGCTACTGCCAGTGTAACCTTTGTCGTCTTGGAACTTTACTCAGGCCTTCGATAGGCATCGGCTGACGTCACCGCACTGAAATATGTGTGCCGTCTCAGTACTTGGTCTAGGCTCAGTACTTGGTCCTTGAGTGCGAGGAGAGATGTGTCGCCCTTTTAGCAGCGTGTGTCTTACGCTGTAGTCGACATGGAAGGCTGCGCCATTTCGCCTACAACGCTTCTGGGAACTTCGCCGCTAACAAGTGAGTTTTCTCGCAGGTTCACTTCTTGATAGCGTTCTAAGAAGGTCTCCAACTGAACAATTATCTTTAACTGTATTTCGAAGTCTTGGTTCCCCAATACTGGAAACGCCACTCTCTCCGCCAGGATAGGTTCCGCCCACTCCTTTAAGTTGTTGCGTTAGGCGTAGCGGTAAGGCTTATCTCCCGGCCACCGTACTTTGACGGGGGCGAAATGCAAAGAACAGCTATGCGCGTGGGCTTAGGTGCACCGTAGTTGAGCTCAAATTTATACTGAATTTATACGGATTGGTGGGAATTATATGGTCCCTAAGTTATTACCGGCAAAAAAAGAATATAGAAAAATCACACTGAAGGGGTAATACTGACTCCCCCCTTTACTAGCCCGAAGATAGAGTGTCGTCGATTCCCGCTTCATTCTTTCTGGCGTGGTTATTCAGAACTTTCGTAAAGCACAATTTGCTGTCAATGTTAAGAGCGTCCAAAACTGAGTAGCAATAAATGACGCTTATATGATGAACATGCCGAGTTTTGACGAAATTGCATGACCTCGCATTCGATTCATCAGATGCTACTTAGTGGAGTCGTATTGCAGGAAGGAAAAACGTACTGTGACGATTGAACTTTTTCAATCTGGGACGAGTAGAGATTCGTTTCTCTAGTCAGCCTCATTTATGAAGTATTTGTCTTTGAAAGACATCTTACACCAATTTATCATAGTCACTTCAAATTTTACAACATTCCTTTTTAGTGACACTAGCTCGAGCTAATTAGACAGTTTTAACGGGACGGTGCCGTTTTCCCTAGCCATGGTCTTGTCCATGGTCTGGCAAACCACTGGCATGTGCGAAGCTTTGCGTTTGAAATCAGGGTATTTGTAATGTGTGACGACCTGAAAGATTTTGATCAGTTAGGGGTTACTGTATGCGTCGTTACCTTTATGTTACTTTTATGAATATCCTTCGGAAGATTAGTTCCTCCATCTTTCACATTTAGTGTGCCCAGTATTCCCCACAAGTCTTCTTGAGTCGCACTATCGTAAGCTCTCTTGATATCTACAAATTCCAGCCACAGAAGCCTGTGTTCCTTTTTTGCTTTTTTTCCCACTTTTTATTTTTTCGAGGATATATATACACAACGCCATATAGTGAGCATTTCGTAAAGCTAACTATAAGTGGCTACAACATACATATACGAGAGAACCCATCTTGTTAGGAAGCGCGCAACTTTTACACAGGAACACGGTACGCAATCGCTTAACTTCGAGTAAATGTTTATTGCAAACGTCCGAGTATATAAAGGAGTTAAAGAAGAAAAATAAAAATAAAAGGCAGGACAAAAGACGCACACGTGCAGTGCCATACATTAGTCATCCATTATCAGAAATCAGATCACTCTAAAATGTTCTTTCCTCGTGAGCGAGATTTAAAGGGCGCTAACAAACTCAGTCCTCACGTGTAGCAATTCTGCTGCTTTAACTACAAAATGGGTAATATACTTCTGTAACTATATAAAACGCACGTTTGATCGAAATACGGCACACAACCGCACTCTGTCTATCGCCAAGTGACGATTGGTAGCCCTTCGCACTTCTTTATGTTCTTTTAACATCCCGGTATTGCATCTGTCAGTACGTCCAACATGAAGAGGCCGCATGATAAGCACACTCAACATATTTGTTACGATGGTGCAGTTCGCAACCCCTTTTCTTCAAAACAGGACAGGTTTCGCGACATATTTTTGAGTTTCTTTGGAGCAGACATGACAACTCGTACACCACCCTTACTTATAATCTGGAAATAAGGTTAGTAGGTGTCGCTGTCTTTGTCACATCAAATTTGGGCTGTTTTTTTTTTAGCAGCCGCGTGGGCACTGGTTTCAGTGCCGCGATTGCGTCGTTACTTATACAGGTCGATTAGAAAAACTAAGCTTTGCCAGTCTCAAAACCTGAAGCCAAGCACAAAAAAAGTTTTTTCACCTCAGCTTGCCTTTGTGACGTTACGTCAGGTTGAATTTAAACGAGCCTAGTTATGGTGACACAAGCACCAGCAAGTACGAAAACATAGTTTAAATTCTTTTAAGGCTAATTACATTTAATTAAGCTTAATAAGAGTATACGCGGGGATAAGTGTTTAGTATGTTTCTCAGCCTGGATTCTCTAACCTCATAACATTCAACTTTAGTTACTATATTTAACACGAGAACTGGCTTAATTTCACCGAATAATCACTCGTTAGATGATGCCATGAACAACCGTGCTTTGTCAAATTTTTCTATGCTTACCTTGGCACTGTCATTAGCTTGGTTATGCCTAATTACCCTAGTTATGTCACGTGAAACTCCACTATCATTTGTGCGTGGTTGAATATTTGACTAATAAGCTATAACTATATATTTATAATTGATTTTAATTATAAGCCATAACGAGGCATAGCTATAGGTTATATGCCGTAACTAGCGCTGCGCTACATATGATTCACTTGTTGCAAATCGCCCAACACGCGACATTGCTAAGTTATATAGCAGACTTATTGCATCTAAATGTGGCCGCGAACTCTGTCCCGGGAACTAACGCAACGTTACCTAACATATGGTTCAAAGTAGGAAGTATACGGTCACTGTGGCGCCCCGCCGCGGTGGTCTAGTGGCTAAGGTACTCGGCTGCTGACCCGCAGGTCGCGGGTTCAAATCCCGGCTGCGGCGGCTGCATTTCCGATGGAGGCGGAAATGTCGAGGCCCGTGTGCTCAGATTTGGGTGCACGTTAAAGAACCCCAGGTGGTCAAAATTTCCGGAGCCCTCCACTACGGCGTCTCTCATAATCATATGGTGGTTTTGGGACGTTAAACCCCACAAATCAATCAATCAACGGTCACTGTGGCCGCATTTCTGATGGGAACAATGCTCGAGGCTCATGTGCTTAAATAGGGTAAGTGTTAAAAAACTTCACCTCGTTGAAAATTTCGGAGACATACATCAGGACATCTCTTATAATATTATGATCATTTTGAGAATCCAAATAGAAACAATTACCATGATTATTGAAGTCAAGGCCATTTTTCTAAGTGTTGGATCACGGTACACACAAATTGGCGCGTAGCACGTGTTCTATTGCTACAGATCTGCAGGTCACTTAGCCTCGTTCATTCCCATCCCCCTCCCATGCGCAGGGTAGCAAACCGGGTGTCTAAATGCTGGTTAACCTCCCTGCCCTTTTCATATTTTCCTTCCTCTCTAGCCTCTTTCAGCAATGTACTCAACTAAATAAAAACACCACAAAAATGACGTCATTCAAACGCTTGCTGGTACACGACTTCTTTGTGACTAGAATTATTAATCAAAATATGTGCAATTTTGCATGACAAGACCACGATGTGAATGTAAGGCCGCTGTAGAGAAATTTGGCTATTTCAACCACGTGGTGTTCTTTAACGAACACTGATATTGCACATTATGGTCCTTAACCGTTTCGTCTCCATCAAAATGGGACCGCTACGGCCGGTACCGAGCCCCTATCTGTCGGGTAACCAGTCACCGATCTCCATATAGGCGCTGTGTGATCGTGGCTGTATACCTATAGTGTATCTACAGGCACCATCATCCTGCAAGAAAAAAAAAACAGTATACAATATTCCTAATATTCACTGATATTCCCCGCATTAAAGTCCTTAAAGCACTCGGCAGCTGACCTGCAGGTTATGGGATCGAATCCCGGCCCCGGCTGCCGCACCTACGATGGTGGCGAAAATCCTTGAGGCCCTGTGCCTAGATTTAGGGGAACGTTAAAGAAACGTCAGGTTGTCGCGATTTCCGGAGCCCTTCTCCACGGCATCCATGATGATTACAAGATGGTTTTGTGACGTCGAAACCAAAATTATTACTTTGACTTCTGAGATAGCTGTACGAGACCATGAATGCAATTGTTCAGTGTTCCGACGGAACCATCGACAAGGAAAACATTGAAGGCCCGTGTACCTAAAAGTGATTACGGGTAAGCGACCATAGAAGAGCGAAATTTCCGGAGAATTCTACCAGGTCATTCCTCGTATATTAATCATTTGGGGACATTAAACCCCCTACAAATTCAATTACTTGACCAGGATCTTTGCGAGCGGGTTTCCCCAGACAAAGCAGACTCCCCACCCCCGTCAGTCAAATGGCGGTGAAGCACTTTTTTTTCGTAGCCACAAAAAACAAAAAAAAAAACACCGAGACCAAAAAGATTCATTCGCACATTATCGCAATCGGCGCATCCACGGGAAAACGAATTTCATGACAGACGACCACGTGTTCAACTCGGCGCGCCTGACAAAAGCTGTCGATCAGTATTCGGAAGATTTTAACTCGCCTATTGGGGCGGTGTGGATTTCGTATTTCTATCAAAGTTCCGATTGCCATAGCTACCAGAGATAACCGTGTCTCTCGTCTTGGAAATTTCGTCGGTGCTTCGATAGATATCGGCAGCTTTCGCCGGGCTGAAGCGTGCGTGCCGTTGCTCTACTGTCTGGTCGACAGCGTTCGTACGCTCAAGTCGAGATTCGACGCTATTTCGGCCAGATATGTCTTGCATGGTCGACATGGAAAGGGGCGCCATTCCGTCGACACCGCTTTTGTGGGCTTCACGCTAACGGGTGAGTTGTTTCGGAATTGCACTTCTCGTTAGCCTAACGAGTGTTGAAAGCTCGGCGAGTATAGGCACGGCTTCGTCTTCTAGCAAATTGCGCAGCAGACAATGCAACGGCAGATGAGCGCTCGCCTGTCTCGTTTCGTTCCTTCCGTGTGTCACTTCTGCTGCACAGTTGTCTAGAAAATAAATCTTGATAGCGTTAACAGAAAGTTTAAAACGGGATGAATCGATATCTTCAGCTGCATTTGGAAATACCGTTGTTCGAATACTGATTACGCTATTCTCGCAGAGAGGCGAAGTTGCACGCTCGGGTCCTAAGCTAGCGCGTTAGGCAGGGAGTAGCAAGAAATGGCCCTCGAAAAAAAATATCGAGGGCACTGCACCACAGTGGTTTGAGCGTATATAACACAGGGGCGCCCTATCAGATTGGGGCAAATAAGGAAGTGTTTTTGTACAGTGTTTTTGCACTGTTTTTGTCTGGCAAATACTACTTCGGCACTGTGGTCCAGTCATAAATGTATACTCGGCTGCTCACCCGCCGGTCGCTGAATCGAATCCCGGCTGTGGCAGCTGTATTTTCGACGGCGGTGAAAATCCCAAAGGCCCGTGTGCTCAGATATGTGTTCGTTAAAAAAAACCCTAGGTGGTAGAAATTTCCGGAGGTGTTTTTTTCAGTGTGTATGCGATGGTTTTGGGACGTTAAAACCCAACAAATATTACCTTGACTTCTGGCTGTGCGAGACCTTCGATGCAATTAAGTGTTCCAACGGAACCATCGTCAAGAAAAACATGTAATGCATATGTACTTACCGACATATAGATGTGATTACGGTTATTAGACCAGAGAAGAGCAAAATTTACGGAGCACTCTACTAGGGCGTCCCTCGAAGTCTTATCATTTGGGGACGTTAAGCACCCTCCGAATGTGATTACTTTTCCGGGACCTACGTGAGCAGGGACGACCCGCGCCCGTCAGCGTAATGGCGGCGCCCCCCCCCTCCCCCTTTTTTTTTTGTTGCTATCACAACGAAGCACTGAGAACGAAAAGATTTATTGTCGCGTTATCGTAATCGGCGCATCCACAGAAAAGAGTTCCGCGACAGACGATCACGTGTTCAACTCGGCGCGCCTGACCGAAACTGTCGATCAGTTTTCGGCCGTTTTTCACTCTACCAAGGTAGCGGTGTGCATTTCCCATTTCAAGCGAAGCTCCGGTTGCCATATCTACCGGAGATAAGCCTGTCTCGTCTTGGAAATTTTGTCGGGACTTCGATAGATATCGGCTGCTTTCGCCGGGCTGAAGCGCGTGCGCCGTTGCTCTGTGTCTGGTCGACCGCGTTCGTGCACGCAAGCAGAGATTCGGCGGCATTTTAGCCAGCGCGTGTGTTACGCCGGGGTCGACATGAAAAGGTGCGCCATTTTGTCTGCAGCACTTTTGTGAGCTTCGCCGCTAACGAGTGAGTTGTCTGAGAATTACACTTCTCATTAGCCTAACAGGTTTTGAGAGCTCGGTGAGTTGGTATGGGTTCGTCTGGTAGCAAATTGCGCAGCAGACAATAGAACGACAGATGAGCGCTCGTCTGTCTCGTTTCGTTTCTTTCATGTGTGAAATCTGATGCGCTGTTATCTAGAAGATAAATCTAGATAGCGTAAAAGAAATTATCCAACGGATGAAATAGATATATACAAGTGCTTCTGGAAGTAATGTTGTTAGAGTTCTGATAACGATATTTTTTCCTGGATGTGAGGTGGCTCGAACCAGTGTAAGTTAACGTGTATGCAGGGGCGTAGCACGAAATATTTTTCAGGGGAGGGTGGGTGGGAGGGGAGTGAGGAAGGGGGTTAAACTGTCCTTGCGTACGCCACAGAGGGCGTGAAGTAGGGGTTATACCAATTGGCTACGCCACAGGATTTACGTGCATCGCTACATCTAATATCGAGTGCGCGGGTCCCAGTACTCTGAAAGGGGCGATGAGAACCTGCACGTTGATTTAGGCGTACCGTAGTTATTCCAAATCTGTACGAAGTTTCGCCGTTCAGCTTGTGTCATGGTCATGGCGTATTTCGGGGCAAGCTATTGTTTTTATCTACAAGTGGCTGTTATGCCATGCTCTCTGAAATGAAATTACTATTGTTAAGTAGAAGGCAGTTTTATTTTTAGGTTTATTTCATCTTATATATGTGCGTCAATCGCCGATTAGCTATATTATCTTACTATATGGACACGTTGCGTTCCTTCTGTACTTGTACTTCTAGATATGTCTTATGTATTCTTTGTTTCCCTTTTCTGTTAGCTTGTCTGCCTTACGTACGGCTTCAATGGTCATTGTGAATTGGAAACTGTGTAGTTTCTCATCTTCATGGACACTGTGGCCCTAGTATACTGTAAAATAATGAATAAAAATAAATAAATAAATAAATAGTGTTTTGTTACCGCTCGACAAAGCCAAGATGCTATTTTCAAGTTTCTAACCAGCCCCGCTGGTAAACCAGTGCAAGATGGAATAAAACAAGTGTTTACCACACTAGATATCTTGGCATACCACACCGTCTGCCTCCTGCTAATCCTGTTTAACGAGCTCTTGAATTCATAATACGAATGTTCGCGTGAGCACATTCCTAACTGCCCTTCTCGCGACTCCGGTGCATTACTTATAGGTTTGAACTGTTCTATTTGTTTTTTCTCTCTGTTTGCTGAAATATATATTTTGCAACCTGTAGTCAGAATAAGCGGTCCTATGTATACTTATACCTCGGTGCTTTCTTCCTTTCAAATATTAGTAAATATATTCCACCTGAGTCCACTGTTCTTACCAGGCGATTTGTACAGTACTGATTGTGTGTATGTGCTTTGATATACGTTCTGTTTAACCTTGCAATCAACAATGGGACACTGGTGTCCCACTTTTTGTCTCCGGAAAGAAAAAAAAAATTCTTCACCCATTGCAAATAATGCAACTCATGTCCTGCTCAAGCCTTTGTACTCTGAATAAAAATTGTCTAACCAGGCTTTCGAAAGAATAATGTACTCGTACATGCGCGTTAAATTTTGGTCAAGTTTTTGAAACTATAATTTTCCTCATTTTTGAAACTGAAGCTACAAAGAAAATTCCGGACATTATTCTCTTTCGTGTTCGTGAGCGAGATTACAGAATCATATGATCTCGTGTTTTTTTTAAAGTTTGTGTAATAACTTCACCGATAAATTCATCGCAATGATCTCTTGTTATAATCCTGATTATTGCCCAGCGCCAGTGCGCATTTGACGCATTGGAAGATATTTTTGATACTACATACTTTTTGCAAGTTGGCGCAAGCTCCGAGGCAACGTCTGTACTCGGCTTTCGTACCAAAAAGCTAGGACAGCCAAATTAAGAAAAAAAAAAGATGGTTCACACATGCTGGGAAGTCAAGTTTGCCGGAATAGATGTGTTTTGAAGGCGCATAAAAGGCTCAACAACAGTTGGTGGTGCGCTGTTGAAAAGAGGTGCACTCTAATCTTCTCTTCAAAACTTGAGGAGTGATTTATGCTACTTGCCTCGGCTGTTTTATCGAAAATGATCGGCGATTTGATCATGAGATAGTGCTCTCGTGGGAGAGTGGAACTCTTTTCCTATGTTCTAGAAACTTTCACCAATTCGTGGCAAATATATGCCCGAGATTTTTGCTAAAACTACTTGGTGTATTTCGATTGAATTCGCGTACTCTTATTTGTACTTTGTAACCCATTACCACTGCGGGGTTTCATATCACCCTGTACAAAATACCTAACCTCAAAAGGGCTATTATAGAAGAACCGCAAAATGACGATGCACCTACTAAGCCATGAATCATAATGATAGATCAAGTAGGTACGCAGAACAAAACAAGTGCAGTCCCTTCAGTTTTTTCTCTCTCATCATGACTTAAGAACTCGTTATGAATCACCATCTCGTAATAAGTTCGTTGTGATTCGGGTTTTCACCTACGTATGTGGAGAATGCAGTTCTATAATAGGTTTTGCTTAATGCACTTTTTTGTACTTTTGTGCCTCCTATTCTTGAATTTTCAATGTTTGCTTAACTTGCAGGCAAACTTGGGCTGACGCTGGCTTCTCCACTGTTCTGTGTTTGCGGTGGATGCCTGGGCACATGCTGTCAATGATGCCAACTAGAACGCTCCTCTGAATGGTAAGCATTATCGAAGTTCTCCGAATTTTTTTAAAGTCGCCATTCTGTTGTTTACAAATGTAAACCAATGGTGTTGGGTAGGAGTGCGTGTGTCTAAGCGAGCAGGTGTTGCAGAAGTGCTGTTCTACATTGTTGCGGAAACACTCTGAACTTTTTTTCAAATGGCCATGTGGTCTATTTACACTCAAACATCAGTTTAACGAACACTGGTATAACAAAATATTGGTTATAACAAAGTAAACAAAAACAAGTATTTCAATAATTAGTGTTTGGAATAACCTTTATGAAGAATGTTCGGATATAATGATCCTATTTTCTTGTAAGATGCAGCTTTGTTAAAATGAGGTTTGAGTGTACAATGGAATGAAAATGGTCACGGACGAAAATGTGTATGTTTTAGCGAGCATGGTGTGGGGTAGATGCACTCTTATACTGTGTCACAGAAGTACCCTGAACTTGCTTTCAAGTGACTATTTGGTCGCTTTACAATTAAAAAGAAATGGTCTAAGAAGATAGTGCATTCACTTTGAGGAGCAAGGTGTGTTGCATGACTCGCACAACCTGAGGAAGGTGGGCATAAAGTATAATATTCACGTGGTGCTTTCTGCCAGGAGTAAGTTCACCATAATATATGGGGCTCATTGAAAAAATCTTAAGGGTGCTGCACAGTATAGTTGTATCAGCATAAAGTAACCCAGGGATGTCCTGTCTGATAGTGGTAAATAAAGGAGTGATATAGTCCTTATCTGTTTCTTGTGGCAACAAATATATATGCCAGACCTGCGCTTAAGGGTCATAGGTTTTATTAGAAGAAACAATTATCTTGCCACTGCATTGTCTTGAATGTAAATAAAACAGTGATTTTCGGGGAACCAGAATCATTCAATCTATGAATTAGTCAATCAGTCAATTATACCTAAATTTAAGTTTATTTTCTTAGGCTTTATTTTTGTAATACAAGCATTTAATGAACTGATAGCCCATGCACCTTATGGGTGGTGTTATACAATGTGAAACCAAGAAGGCAAACATATACGAGGGAAGAAGCAAAATCAATAATTATACTCGAGAAACTACACAATTAATCATTCTCCTCTAAACAGGCATACTTATTAGCCTGTAACTAGCTTATTAGATAGATGTAGATATGTGGCCCCGCCGTGGTGGTCTAGTGGCTAAGGTACTCGGCTGCTGACCCGCAGGTCGCGGGTTCAAATCCCGGCTGCGGCGGCTGCATTTCCGATGGAGGCGGAAATGTTGTAGGCCCGTGTACTCAGATTTGGGTGCACGTTAAAGAACTCCAGGTGGTCGAAATTTCCGGAGCCCTCCACTACGGCGTCTCTCATAATCATATGGTGGTTTTGGGACGTTAAACCCCACAAATCAATCAGATGTAGATATGCGACTTATGAAGCAATGATTGGTAGAAGCCGAGAAGGAAGAAGTAGCAGTATAGAATAAACATGGAGTATGAGCCGGGCCACGTCACCCAGTCATCATAGCGTCACACAAGTCGACAGGATGAAGACCTCGCAACTACTTCATCGCCCGGCCATCATCGAGGACCTCAGCAAGACGCAGTGACCAAACGTGGACCACGAAAGTGCATCCCAACACTACACCAAGACCAGCATTATGACAGCAGCATCAGAAGACCTTGACATCCCTAAGTACACCGGATGAGCGGACGACAGACCCGTACAGGACTGGTTCAACCTGTTCGAGTTCCATGCCGCCGCTGCATCATGGTCGGAACGGGAGATGATTATACACTTCACTGACTACATCTCGGGTGAGGCATTCAAATATTACCTCACCCACATCTTCGAGAACGATGAGTCTTGGAAAAAGGTCAAAGAAGAAATGATCACCCGTTTCAAAGAATACGATGAAGACCTGTACATACCTCGTCAGCTGAAGTCTCTTCAACTCAACCATCACAGTTACGCGAAGTCTTCCCGCAGTAAGCGTATTTCCCAAACAAGACTTCAGAGTAAATATTCCACCATTGTACCATCGTATGACTCGTCCAAATACACTTCACGCATTACAACACCAACTAGGGACTCGCACGTCACAGCAGAGAAGGTGATTCCACCGTATGCCGATAGGAATGTAGACCATTTTGCCAAAAGACCGGACTTACGGTTGGATTTTTCACGGGAAAATAAATCGACATTTCCAATGTATTTACGGCACCGTAATACTTCAGGTATTACTGAACAACCTGAATCACTTGATGCTTCGTGTCCCACACATGGCCCACACGGCTTCGGACGCGTGACGGCATTTACGCATGACGAGTTAGTAAATCCACATGAAACCAACCCAGACAACGAATGTTCACAGGAATCTCATTTGTTCAAAGTATTCAGTTCAGCAGTTTTACAGAGACAGAAGCATTCACAATCAGCATCTTGTGAAGAAAAGTGTTCTGCAGAAGCGTCGAGTGTTCATCAATCACACGATCAAAGCGATGTGAATTCAGTATACAACCTCGCTGCATATAATGAAAACAAAACCGCAGGTGCGACTTCTGATGACATAAGTACGCTGCAGGCGACGACCAACAATGAACAGTTTATAAATACAAAAGATTCAAGTGCATCAAACCCGCCACATTATCTTGCGCCGGAAACAGTTGCATTGGTTGGCGTCGTAGAAGCCTGTGGAGGACTCGCTAAGAATCCTGGCGCAACGCGATCAATGTCACACCACGAGCAAGTTGACGAAACGAAGAAATTACAACGTCAACGCATACTTCAACATTGTCAACGGCGAAACAAAACTTCATCGAGTGCACTCTTAAGGCTTGAAGAACATTGCAAAAAAGCCCATTGTGGTGGATACATTCTTCACCAAAGATCAAGAATGCGCCTTCCATCAAACCGTCTGCGACATCGCCATAGAAAAATTTCCAAAAGCCACAAAAGCACCCCTTGTACTCGGCAAAAACACAGGCAGCGCCCAATCAACCTCGATCAACGCGCACGCAAGCTGCCTGCACGACTGTGCCACGACGAAGAATTCGATGCCTACGATATTTGAACTGTCCATTCTGCAAGGTGTTCGAACCTCGTTTGTTCTTCGCAAGAATCCCGGCTGCGATTTCCACTATCTCCACGTCCAAAGCATTCTTGTGTTATCCAGGACGCAACCATCAGCCTCGCCCACCAGAAGTCCTGCGTTAACCGGACTGCTGCACTCTTTCCTGAAGTTTTGCGAGTTTACGGAACACCACGGGGCCATGAAACCAATTGTGCATTTTGACATTTGTGACTTCTCAACCTCTCCTTGTGTACTTTTCCTTGTTCGTAATCCATGCCTTCTTTCGGGGGGAGGGGGAATCGTGTGACGTATGAAGCGATGATTGGTAGAAGCCGAGAAGGAAGAAGTCACAGTATGGAATAAACATGGAGTATGAGCCGGGCCACGTCACCCAGACATCATAGCATCACAGATATATATATAGATAGGCAGGCAGACAAACAGACAGGCAGGCAGACAAACAGACAGGCAGGCAGACAAACAGACAGGCAGGTAGGCAGGCAAGTAGGCAGGCAGGCAGGCAGGCAGGCAGGCAGGCAGGCAGGCAGGCAGGCGGGCAGGCGGGCAGGCGGGCAGGCAGGCAGACAGGCAGACAGACCTGATTTATTATGAATGCAAGGAAACTTTAATTGGTTGTTTCTGGGAAGGGTCAGGATTTTACAAACAGGTGCTCACGGTAATGGGCCTCTGAGACAACGAAGCTAGATTTCTCAAAGTTTATGCGGTGGTCATTCGCACCCCTCTGCTCAGCTTGTGCACTTGGTTACTTTCTCGTGCGGAGTCGCTTTTAATTGTCGCTGACCCTCAGGGAAGGTGTTAGCTTCCCATTCGTAGGAATCTTCACCATCAGCACATAGCATTGAGTGAAATTGCCTTTTCGTTTTCCTTTCGGGCGGCCTGTCTTCTGTGCGCAGAAAGGTGCAGCAACCTAAGGACTGGGCAGTGTCAGAGATAACTATCGGGTCTCCATTTCGCCAATGGGGCTCTCATTTCGGCAATCGGTTTTGTTTTTCGACAGTACATGATGGGAACACAATCTGTGGTTGCTATCGCTCCCGCTTGAACGTCCTACAAGCAGCCACCGGAGAGCGAAAGCCGCGCATTTGCGTGTTCCCTTTCATAAAAATTGACAGTGTACAAGCAGATGCCAAAAAGCACATTGCGTTAATAAGTGAAAGGTGAAATTGGTACACAGCCACCGTTCAGTAACCAAAGTTCATTGTCGGAGGCAAAACACACTAACATTCCACTCTTCATTTTTGTCTTCTGGGTTCTCAAGGTGTATGAGGAGCATTAAAATTCCGATGATAGCACGTGCGTGGGTCTGGAGTTCATAATGTTGTCTCCTAGTCTTTTGTGGGTGAACCAACTTGATGGTGATAAGTATATGTGCCATCCATAGTGACGGAACTTTTTTTTTGTTACGTAGACTTGCCTTTACGTCTTTTTTTTGCGTGTACGTATATGTATTACATGTTCGTCGTTATAGGCTGGTGTTGAAAGCCTATTCTTTTTTGTTCTTAAGCATACGTGGCTTTGTGGCTTTGTGGTAGAACTGAATTCATTGCTTTTATGATCAAAATGAATTGATGCTTCGACATAACAATTGTTGTACAGTATTTCAACATGCAGGATTGTTAAAGAAATTAAAGCTAAACTTTAAAAAGCCATAGGTGTGAGTCTATGGCCTAGTGCATTGTTAATTCGCAACCTCACTTCTGCGTAGGAATGTTAAAAGATGAGGTAGCAGATCGTATGAGGATCTAGAGTAGTAAGTTGATCACTTTGCACACTTACTGCTTAGGTCCTCAGTGACCTCGCATATGCGTAATATAATTTGCTTATTGAAAACTTTCACAGCACTAAGTTTTCCTTTATAAATTAAAACAAGCATAAGTTCTACTTTAGCTAAATGAAACAAGCATGAATACTTCATGAGGTTAACCTCTCTAGACCATATATACCTACACACTGTAAATATTGGCTTAGTAAGTTCTGGGTACAATAACTGTGAATTCACCAGTATTTCTTATCACCATACTCATCATACATCTAGTGTTATCTCTATATATCTTTGCAGACTTAATAAGGCAATATGAATGCATGCTGCACAAGAAGCAAGACTTCATTGATGCCTTTAGGATGTATTGCCTCAAAGAGTGGCTTAAAAGCTGTATGTACATTTTTGTCATTACTCAACGCCCTGTTGTGAGCTATGAGCATATTTATGTGTTGCTGTAGCATTCCATGAGAGGCTGTATAAACGGCTATTTATCCTTCACTATTCCTGCTTCCTATTTTTTTTTTCATAGACCATATGAAGAGCAGATTTGCATTTCGGTTGTCTGCTCTAAAATATTCCTCAAAAATTGAGGCCCAATAATTGCCTTTCAAGTCTTTTTCAAATAATTCAGCTTTATGGCCTTTGTTTTTCTGCTCAATTTTGTTTTATGTGGATAAAAAAAAACAATTTATTGCTTTCACATTCACTTTGTTACAGGTACCCGGTTAAATTCGCTTTTACTTCCTCAAAAAGTGACTTTGGCCCCAAAAAAACATTGGTACGCGTCAGCGCAAGCAATTGCCAGGCAGAGACAAGAAGTGATGGTAAAATTTATAGCTTCATTATTGCACGCACAGGTACATCAACATGATGGCAGTACAAAAGAATGCATAGAGACTTGAAACCAAGCCTATTGTGGGCATCAGAGAATTCAGCTACCAGCCATAATCTGCCAGCCACCTGGAAATGTAAGCAGAATAAGCATTTATTAGCATTAATACTTACGTTCAGGATTTTATAGTAGTGCTTATATAATACAACATTCCTTTTAGAGACTTGGCATCATCACTACAGGAAAAGGAACACATACTGTGTTTGAAAATTAAGAGATGGAACTCTTCAAAACTTTCAGCATTTATGGAGATCGGAACAAGCGTAAAATCTGCACGGCTGGCAAAATTGTGACTGCGTAAAGGGGTGCCAGTGGTTACAGTCACTTGGAGCACTGTTTACCACCAATGGCATTGTCACTGGGAACATTCCATTAGATAGGGCCATCCTGTTCAATAGTGCAAGCACTACCAAGGTAAGTTTGTTCGAGCACCATTTTCTCTACCTTGCTGTAGTGCAGATTCGTTAATTCAAGCTCTTTTGACTTTTGGAATCAACAGGCACCCAAGTCACCGTCATCCCTTTTGAAATGAGTGAAGAGACTTGTCAGTCTGTTGTGCGAAGTACCTGGCATATAGCCCTATAGACACTTCACATACCAAGAATAATCACTTGGTGCGGGTGCACATAGAAGAGGTAAGAAATGTTTGTATAAAAGTTCTGATAAGTGTACTTTTTCGTCTGTAGTTGCAAGAATGCTGAAAGTTGGCAAGCTCGTGTTTGATAGTCATTAGATGTGAAGACAAGCACTGAAACGCACCAAGCAAGCCTGTTAAAGGCTTCCTCAACTGCGACTTAGCTGCCTGAAGTTCGAATCATTGAATATCAGGACGTGCCCCAGAATCGGAAAATATTTGCTTGACCATGGGCTGGAGCTTCTGCACGAACTAAATAGCTGGCATGCTATCAAAGATGTCTGTGATAAATATAGGTTAATCATTTGCAGTGTAGCAAAAACTTTAAGAATGCTCTTTGAAGCCAGGTACTGCCATTACTTTTTGTGATTTGCTCTTAAATTTAGAACTAAAAAGAGAAGTAAAAAGGTCCAAGTTATCTTTATGCCAACCATTGTTCATTCGTAAGGAAGATGATACACCCTTCACATGGCAAATGTCAAGAGGCTCTCTGTTGTGCAGATGTGTTGTCTAAAAAGATGTTTCTGTATGCCTCGTCTTGGTCTGACATTTGGTAGCCCGCTAAATGACTTCCTGCCTAAAATTGGAAATATTTCGTAACGCTCATCGTTTTTATTTATTCATGTCTAATAAGCAATAGGAGTGATGTGTAACTGCCTGTAGTCACCTTGAACACTGTCATATTGTGCCTAGGCCTAATTTACCCTAATATTTGCGGGCGGCAGGCATTAACGGCGTCTTTCGTGACCAGTGTTGTGATATCATACCAGCTTTCACTGTAAAATATAGAACCTGCAAAGAGCTATTGTAGCACAACCGTGAAATTACTAAGCACCCACCAAGCCCTGATTAGTAATGATAGCAAAACTAGGTATGTCGAACAGGTGAAGTGCGGTGTCCGCACATTGCGCTGTCATTGTGACTTACCAACCTATTGTGAATGTCCTGTAATGAAAAACACGTTCATGTTCGGCGCATTCACCTAGGTATGAGGAGCCTGCAGTGTCAGAGTAGGCTTTCTGTGAAGCACTTTATTGTATTAATGTGCTTCCTGATCTTGGATTGTCAATGTTGCTAAACCTGCAGGCTAATTCGGCCTGATGCTGACTTCTCAAGTTTACTCGCTGTTCGACATGGATGTCTGGACCCAAGCTATCAATTATTTGAACTACAACGCTCCTATAAATGGTAAGTGCTACCAAAGTGTTCTGAAAGTTTTTCAAGTGACTCTCCTGTCAGTTTAATATTGAAAATAAGCTTTCAAAAGAAGGCAAATGCTAAAAGGGTAGAAAATAGGTGTGCTAATTAAACTGCAAACTTCGCGTTTACAATGTAGCAGCAGAAGACCAAGACCAGGTTGATTGGCGGATCATGCAAAATGCTTTCAGTGGGTGCAGTTAGGCTGATGATGATGAATAGCACATGATCCCTACACCCAAGTTGCCTAAAGGCCTTGTGTTTATTCACAATTTTCACAAATGCTCAATTGGTTCCTCAGTGTTGAGCGTGTGTCAGTGCGAAGATAGGCTACGATTGCCAGCAGTGGTCAGCTCATTTATACCACTCAACTGCAGCTTGCAGACTTATGGGCATGCATTTGGAATGTTTATTGCATAAAAGCAGAAAAGGAACCCTAGAATGAAATTTGCTGAACAATTGTGGTGCTTGTATATGATATCTTGTCGAGCCAGTTTCCAGCAATGCAATCGCTTCATAGTCGGAGACACATTGGCTTGGCTTCAGGCCTAAATTGTATTAATTATTCAACATAAAATAATAATGTACAGTGTTAACAATGCAGGTTGGTGAAAGAAATAAGCTGTTTAAAAAACTAATTAGTGTGTCTCTTGCTTTATGGATTCAGTTGATATTAAATCAAGTTTACTTAACATAGTAATGTTGAATAGTGTAGCACTTCAGCAGGTCATGTCAAGTAGTAAGCTTGTGATTTAAATTAACTGATACTACAATAATACATAATCATATTGCAGGTTTGCTCTTGATAATTTTCAGAAGAGGATATTACAGTAGAGTAACAAGAGCCCATGTAAGGTTATGCTCTATAGGCCCTATAGAAAGAACTTAGCAGCAGGTATTTAAAAAAGTATTTATAATAGGTTTGAATTAGCCACTATTTCTGTCCATTGTACCGGTATTATTATATCAATTGTGGTTAATTGTACTTGCAGGTCCTCTGAGACGTTATGAAAGTCAAGGTCGGAAATGAATGGCCACACCATCAAACCCTTCATGATGAAATGGCTCACGAGCAGCTTCTGCTTGTCCATCGGCGCTTCTTTAGTCTGTCACTCTCAGTGCTCTCCTTTCTCTCTACCTAGTGATCTGTAACTCTCCCCATCTCTGTTTGAATTTCTCACTATCTGCATTTGTCTGTCCATCCCTCTGCCTGCATATCTCTTAATGTTTGTCTACGTCATTGTCTGTTCACGTTGCTCTGTATGTCTCGGTCTACACGTTCGTCTTGCGGCATTTCACTGTGTCCTTCTGTAGTCTTTTGTCAGTCTCTGACTGCGTATGTCCATTGATCTGCCTGTGTCTGTTAGTCCGTGTTTCTGTCTACTTTCATAATTTGTCTCTCTGCATTTACCCGCGCGTAAATGTCTGTCATTGTTTTCTTGTCTATCTGCCTTGATTAGTCTGTGTGACCGTTTGCCTGTCTCAATTTTGCTGCTATGATTCAGCCCTGTCTATCCGAAAATCTGACGTTTCGTCAATCCGTGCATCTCCAGCCCTTTGTCTATATCCATGTCGGTCCATGCATCTGTCTGTCTGCCTGTCTCATTTTGTACCTATCAGTGCGTCTCTGTACACGAATTTTTGTGTATCTATCCATCTGCCCGTTTGTCTCTCTCTCTCTCTCTGGGTCAGTCTCTTCATGCGTTTTCACTATCCATCTGTCCGAGTCTGTGCCTTTATCTTGCCCGTCAGTCCGTCTCTTCATACGTAGGTGTTCTGTGCATCTGTCTTACTATTTCCCTGTCTCTGTAAGTCCCTCCATTGTCTTTATTCAGTGTTTTCACTGTCCATCTGCCTGCATTCATGCCTCCATCCTTCGGTGTAATATGGTGGGTCTCTGTGTTTTTACATCCGTTCAACCGTCTTTGCCTCCATCCGGCATTCTGTCTGTCTTTCAGGGTGAAGCTCCTTACGCCATTGGTCATTTCCTCCTCTATAGTGGCAATATGTAGCAACCTCCAATTTCAGTCGCTCGTTAGAGGGTGTTGTATAAGTGCATTTTGTTTGTCTTTTAGGATGAAGCACCTTACGCCATGGGTCATTTCCTCCTTTCTAGTGGTAATATGTAGCAACCTCCCATTTCAGTCGCTCGTTAGAGGGTGTTGTATAAGTGCTTAGGAATTGTATACCTAGATGGCATAAGGGGTTTTCACGGCATATCTGTGGAGTAAATGATAAGTGGGGCGAAGTATTCGCACGTCCGACCGTCCGCCCGGGCATTCTTGCGTCCGTCGTGCATCTGTCCGCCCACCCGTGCATCCGTCTCTTCGTCCCTCCGCCTGTTCGTGCATCCATTCGTCCGCCCAAGCATCCGTCTCTTCGTCCGTCCGCCCGTCCTTGCGTCCGTCCACTCGTCCGTTCGCTGTGCATCTGTGCGTTCGCTCTAAGTCCGTTTGCTTCGCCTTACTCGTCGTCATTCACCTCATAAATATGCAGTGATTTTTTTTTGGCCCTGCTGACTTTCATTACCTGCCAGTGGATCAAGTCACACAAACTGACCCACTTGACTGGCTCTTAATGACTGACACAATGTCTGGTATAACACAGATCACCATTGCCCAAGACGATGCCAGAAGCTGGAAGCTCGTGTAGTGATGTGTTAGTACTAAGCTGGTGCTTGACTTGCGAGAGCTCATTCTTTAGGCTGTGCGTCTTTCCTAATCTTCCTCCCTGTCTCTCTGTTTTTGTTGGTCTTTTTGTCAGTCTTTCTTGCTCTAGTCTATCTGTCCATCCATTCATTTGTCTGCATATCCGTCTTTTCTCTATTCATTTGCTCGTCCAAATGTCTGTCTGCCCATTTATCTGTGTACCTGTGTCTCTCCATCCATCCACACGTTCGTTCGACAATCTGTGTATGTGTGACTATCCCCCTATACGTGTATCCACATGTCTGTTTGTTTGTCTTTCTGCCTGAATTTGCACTTTACGTTCTTCCTTCAATAGTGTCCGTGTGATGTTCCAGCCAGTCTTCTTCTTTGTGCATCTGTACATCTCTATTTGTCTGTTTGTCGACCCGTCTGCCTGTCTCGCTTTCTGTCCGTCAATGCATCTCTCCGTATATGAATTTCCTGATTATCTGTCCATCTGTTTGTTCGTCTGTGTCTCTGTGACCGTCTCGTAGTCCGTTTTTCTCCATGTCCATCTGCTTGCATCGGTACCTCTATGCTGTCCGTCAGTCCATTTCCCCGTAGGTGAGCTTTTGGTATTTATTCGTCTGTTCACTTGTCTGTCTGTCTGTCTCTTCGTCCGTTCTTTTTCCCGTACATCTGCTTGTGTCTGTGCGTCTATCTGCCTGTCAGTACGTCTCTCCGTATGAGTTTTTTTGTGTTTTAATCAGTCTGTATGTCTTTCTGTCGGTCTCTTCGCCCGTTCTTTTCACTGTCCCTTTTCTTGAGTCTGTGCCTCTATCCTGCCTGTTTGTCCGTCTGTCTGTATGTGGGTGTTCCACATATCTATCCATCGGTTCACTTGTCTGTCCTTAAGTAGGTCTCTCTGTCCGTCTCTTTGTCCGATCTTATCACCACCTGTCTGTCTGCGTCTGTGCCTCGATCCTTTTTTAATGTCTCTGTGTATTCGTCTATTCGTCCGTTTGAACGTCTTTGTATCCATTTGTCGTTCTGTTTTGCTGTTTGTCTTTTTATACACAAACACACACACACACATGCACGCAAACACACGCAAAGACACATGCATCCGCGCGCTTCGAAAAAGCAAGTTTTCTATACAGCTTCAAAGTGAAGTCATAGTTGAGGACGAAGCTGGGTCATGAGGCCCATAACGTATGAAGTTGCTAACTAGTGTAAAGGGAGAAGTCTATAAAGTCTTCTGTATAAAGCTTATGTTTCAATTGCATCTATGACAACAGAAACCGTGGATGGAGAAGCCTCACCAATAACGTGCGGGGTGTCTAAACGTAAGGTGTATCGCAGTAAAAAAAAACAGCTGCAGCCGTCCCAGCAGCGGTGTGCCACCAGCAAGTCTGTTGCGGCACGGGTGACACGGGTAGTTGACGGTTGCAGTGGCACCAAAGCAGTACCTTCGAGCCATGCCAACTAGTGTAGATTTTTTGGCCAGTTGGTCTATGTGCATGGTGACGAAATTTAGAGTGCGTGTGTTTACGTTGACAGAGAAGAGGGATACCCTCTTATGCTCCCAGTCGTTTTACCGTTTTTCTCTATGCGTTTCCCCATGTCTCTGCATCTGCATGTATGTAGGGCCCGGTGCTTCTTTTACGGAAGGCAGAGCGCAGAGCTTTTTTCTTAGTTTTCCACAGCGAATACTCCTTAAATGTCGCCCTCATGAACCTAGGTCACCTAGCCCAACCATATACACTCCCTGGTGTGGCTTGGAACAATCGTCGCTCGATGGCTAGAACCTGCTTCCGCGCTGACGCTTTTTGGCCCTGCTTACTGCGTGACTTTCTCGACTGGCTGGTAGTGACAAACAGACTCGCGCGGCTGGCTCACACAATCACTGGTATAGCACAGGTCACCGCGGCCAAAGTAGATGCCAGCACCTGGAAGCTTGTGTATTGTTCTGTTAATAATAGGCTTGTGCTTGACTAGTGAGAGCTCAGGTGTTATGCTGTAGATCCCTCTTGATCACCCTCTGTGTTTTTGTCGCTGTTTTTGGCAGTCTTTCACTCTTGTCTATCTGCACGTCCATTCATCTGTAGGTATGTCTTTTACTGTTCTTCAATCCACTTCTCTATATGTATGTCTGCCCGTTCATCTGTGCACATGTCTCTCCGTTCACACGTCGTTACACCATCTTTGTATATGTGACGCTTCATTCATACGTCTGTCTGTATTTCTGTTCGCATGTCTGCTTTCTGCCTTTCTCTGCATCTGGTATTTGTTCTGTTTATATTGTCCGTCTAATGTCCCAGCCTGTCTTTCTGTCGGTCCATCTGTACAGCTTTCTGTCTCCTGTACATAGATCTCACTATCTGTGGTTCTTGGCGTCTCTAGGTTACTGAGTCAATTCATCACGACGTTTTTTTTCTTTGTGTTCATCTTTCTGTCTTTCAGTCTGTCTGTCTGCCAGTTTCAGTCTACTTGTTAGTCCATTAAGAAAATTTTTTGTCAGTGTGTCCACATTGCTCTTCTTTCCTGTCAATGTGTCATTGAGTGCCGGACAAAAAAAAAGCACTTAGAATAGGCCATTTTTACTATTCCCTGCCTTGGTCTCACATTCGGTCGTACATTTGCAAATTAGACGACCTATGATTGTCGGATTATTGCCCAACAAGACAACTGAACAACACAGCTGCACTGATCTTTTTCAAGCGCATCAAGATGCCTATGAACCGTAGCACAGAAAGGAAATTGCGTTTGAACACCGGGTGCACAGACGAAGACACATTTGTAAGGTAGGTATTTATTTAAGCGTTCTAGGCTTCGTCAAATATTTTTTGCATGTAAAAAGCTTTAAATGAGTTAAACATCAATCTTTTTCGGGCAACATGACTACAATCTTGTGAATTTATGCTACGTGCATTGATAAAATTTGTGCTTGCATGTTTATTGCAGCATTAACCACTGCTTGACACTATATCCTAACTATGACTATTCGCTTTTTGAACACTCTATCAGTAAATTCTTAAGAAAACTACATGGAAAGATGAGCTGCATGCGTACCTCAATTGCTGAATGCGTGCACGAACCAATGAAAGGTACGCGCTCAGTTAAGCTTATGAAAACTGCATGCCATCATAGCTACGAAAAAAAATTTAGACTTGGTTTTGTAGAAAGATCATACAGATAACACATCACTCTCTTCAAAAGTCGGTATACTAAACGGAGAACTCGTGTACCTGAGTATATAGTATTTCATTAAACGCTGTACGTAGGCCATGGTCTCTAAAGGTGTCTCAGCTCAACAGATCAGTACGTATGATTAATGTTTAATTCGAGAATTGCCGTTGTCTAGCTTTTTAATAATGGCATTGTAATAGGCATGAAAGGTAACTTACAGAAAGAACCCACACCATGGTATGTCAGATCCCCTTTACGTGTCAAGAAGAGATGACATTGTCTCCTCTACTGCTAAAGCTTCTGTTTTGCTAAGTGGAGGATCAAATGAAATTAATGCTGCTGGTAAGACGGTATCTTTGAATCCCGAAGCTGTGAAGCTTCAGAGCATGCCCTAATAACTGCTGTGTATGCAGGCCCGTATATCTTTGTGTTTATAGGCAGTCGTGTGAAGGGCTACAGTGATGCATCTGTGTTCTGCTCGAATGTGTTGCTACAAGCCTCACTGTTATCTCTTTCACACTTCTGCAAATTTTGTTTTACACTGATTCATTATGGCAAACACTGGTATCGAATGTGATTACAGAGCTAAAAATGCATTCGTATCTCATTTGCGTGATTTCAGGCAGCCAGGCCAGTTTAGCTGTCGCGTGCTGGAAGACGGTACTTTCGCACCCAAAGAGGCTCTCCCATGTGCAACGACAAGTTCACTGACTGCCGTTACAAAATTCTTGATGGCTCTAAGACTAGATTCACCTTTGTGCCCTCTAGTTCAAACGAAGGCAGCAAATAATTGGTGCAAGTGACATTTTGGATGGACTTCTTGATACCAGACTATCTAACAGCCAGCATCTAACACAATAAAGAAAATGTTAGCCATTTAACCATTTGACAGCATTACTTGTTATGGTCAAGTGTTGACAATGTTCCTTATGGTCGACAACATTCTTTTCAGACTCGTAATTTTCAATATGCGGAAAGAAAAATATATATCTTGTCAGATATAGTGAACATATCGCACATAACGCATTGAAATTTGACTACGCTTCGTTTCAGCCCAACCTCTGAGTAAATAACAAGAGCATATTTTACTCTTCTCTCAGTTAATTCCTGCATGTGAAATGTGTCATCACTATATTCAAACTTACAGCTAACTATCACAAAAACTAAGACGACTTGGCTGAATAAGGATAGATCAATCTCATGCTCTGTGGGAGTCATCTGCATGTGAAGCTTCTGTAGCAGCACCCTACATTGAAGCTTTGGTTTTGCGTGAATTGTTACAGGCTGTATTGAAGTCTTCTGAATAACTGAGGTCTTATTCTGGATGCTTTTGTTCCGCCAATACTGGTTGTCGAATGCCCTACCTACACACCACGAAAAACCGCGGATGGCGGCAGAGGAAAATGAAAAGCCTGTGTTACCGCAATACAACAATGAACTGTGACAAGAAGTGCATGGTCAATACAAACTAGGCAAAAATATTGCCTTCAGCTGGGTAATGTTGGCTAGCGGTGCCTATTTGCTGTTACAACAGCAACGTTCATTTGTTGCCAATCGAGTAAAAGTTGCCCATCCATTTTTTTTGGAGAAAGTCTTGCCTTTCTTTGAATGGTCCCTAAAGCCACACATGGCAGAGGATTGAGCTGGGACGAGATCCCCCTCGGCCTACCTCACCTTCAACTTCATGTTCTGAAGCGGCGTCATAATCACGTGACAGATCGGAGCCATATACCATGACTTCATTATGGCGTCGACAGGTGTCATCCCATGTGGCACGGTCAATGGTAACCGATATCGGACTTTGTTCAACCCAGAAGAAGAGCACGCAGCTTCAATTGAGAGAAGAAGAACGATGTAGTAGAGCGGGTGCGTCAAGGTAATACGATCAGTCTTTCACCCGGCAGCTCCATTTGCGGTTAACGCAGTCTGGTCTCCGTGCATACAACTTAAGACGCTGCTAAATACGCAGCACTTTTTCTACTTTCAGAGTTATACAGGGTTTAACAGACTGCCGAAATTTTTTGCTGTACTGTCTCGTATAGTCCCCGAACAACTTGACCACAGTTGGAATATCGGCCTAATGGAGCAGGCTACAATGGGAACCACCGGAGAAGAAATCTGGCAACCTTCGTAACTACAGTGACGATATGCCGCAGGAAAGGGCCTTGTGACGCTGATTAACCGGTGGTGTTGAGAATCGCACACTTAACAGTTGGTTGGACTTCGAAACTACGGAAGGAGCGCTTTATTGCGTCCAGATGAAGGCAGACATCTTGTGCGCCTGTCAAATCATTAGTAGTCCAGCCATGGCAGAGGTCATAACTCTCTTCCTTCAAGAGAAAGTGGTGAAAGAGACTTCAAAATAAATGCTTATTATGCCAAGCAGAGCGTACTTTTCCCATAAATAACTATGTAATTATTTATCGAAATTAAAACTAAAAAAATCACGAATGAAAGAAAAAAAAAGATTATACTCTCCTATTCTCAGTTTTTTTGTCTTTGTATTTTTGTTCATTGTGTTTTATTTGTTGACCTCGTTCTTGCTACTTTGTGTGCTATTATTGGTCTAATTTCTGCTAGATTTCGATAAGCGTTAAAAAGTGTATAAAAATAGATTGGTGCTCAGCTGCTCAGCTTTATAAAGCTGAGCACCAACAAACTATCTTTAATCCTGATGAAGGCCAGACTCTAGGCCGAAACGTCGAAATAAACCACGTTGTGACCGCTCATGGAGGATCTACTGGACTATATGCAACGCTACGGCCACTCAACCACCATGCCTGCCTATATATATATATATATATATATATATATATATATATATATATATATATATATATATATATTGTGGCAAAGCCTTCGAACAGTGGGTCGTCCTCTCCAGTGCCTTCTAGTGGGTCGCCCTTTTCATAAGAAGAGCAGCAGCTCGTGCAGAGTCGGTCCCTGCATTGACTGTCGCTGTCGTGGATCATCAACGAGTGTCCGCCAATAAACGTCTTAACAATTTGGAGGAGAGTGCTGTCCCCTTCAAACATCTTTGGTTCACATTCGATGCCCTCGGAGCTTCGATCCCGTACCGTGCCTTCTACCATGCACCAGGACGCCGCTCAGCAAACGCTCCCTCCTACACCGACGCCATGTCTCGGTGTCCCCCGCATCCGCGACCCTCCTGTCTTCACCGGCGCGGATGGCACCGACGTCGAGGACTGGCTCGCCATGTACGAACGCGTGAGCGTCCCCAATCATTGGGATGAGGCAGCTAAACTCGGTAACCTGTTTTTCTACCTCGCGGGTGTGGCCGGAATGTGGTGCAACAACCACGCATCTGATTTCCCGACTTGGTTCGCTTTTAAGACCACTGTCGTTGACGTGTTCGGCCGTCCTGCCGTTCGTAAACTGCAAGCCGAACAGCGTTTACGTGAACGAGCACAGCAGACCGGCGAGTCCTTCACAAGTTACATCGAGGACATCCTTGACTTGTGCAAGAAAGTCGACCTGAACATGTCAGAGGCAGACAAAATCACGCATGTTCTAAAAGGCATCGCCGACGATGCCTTCACCATGCTCCTGGCCAAGATCCCTCATACTGTAGCAGAAGTCATTACATTATGCCAAAGTTACTACGAGCTGCGGCGGCAGCGCTTGATGACCCGTTGACCGCCACCACGTGATGCTGGTCTCTCGGCTTTGTCAGCGGTTCCTGACCACACAACCTTGCTCGCCGAAATCAAGTCATTCGTGCGTGAGGAAGTTGCCCGCCAGGTCTCTTTACTGGCTTTTGCTCCGCCGCAACATATGCTTAGCAGCCATCAAGTACACTTCTACCTCCGCTCCGACGAGCCATTCAGCAGGAAATCGCGCAGGTCGTTCCAGAATACCACCAGCCGCCTCCTGTATCTGCGCCACTCAGCTACGCCCAAGTTGTGGCCAGGCAGCCCCCCCCCCCCCCCCCGATTTCTGTGCATTGCCCTTTAAGTTACACCGAAACCACCGCGAGGCCCCAGGCCTTCGGAGAAACTGTGTCGCCTACATACGCCGACGTCACCCACGTGCCCCGAGTGCCGCCCACCATGTACTCATACCAGCAGCCGGCTCGCCCATCGCGTTCTGCGACATGGATGGCACCCGCGAACAGATGGCGCACTGCTGACAATCGCCGCATCTGCTTTGTTTGTGGTCGCGTCGGTCATGTAGCACGCTATTGCAATCGTGTGCAGCAACCGCAGGTCGCCTCGAACTTTCCCAACCAATCAAGCCACTCTTTATGACCAACCGCCGCCTATGTCACCGTCATCCCGCCTCGCTCCGTCTACCCGTCGTTCACCATCTCCGCCACGTCGCTCACTGTCGCCGATGCGGCCACGACCACTCGAGGGTGACCAGGAAAACTAGTCGTCGCAGTCCACGAGGCAGGGGCTGCGACGCTGTCGAACTGCGGAAGCCCTCAGGAAAGCCCATCGAACGTGATAGATGTACTTGTGGATGGCGTTCGTGCACCTGCCCTTGTAGATACTGGAGCCGCCGTATCCGTCATGGACGCAAAACTTAGCCGATTACTGCGCAAAGTGACCACGCCACTCTCCGGGCTCTCCCTCCGTACAGCCAGCGCCCAAAGCATTCACCCTACGGCGATGTGCACAGCCCGCCTTATGATTCAGGACGTGATGTATGCGGTCGAATTCATCATAATTCCTTCATGCTCTCACGACGTCATCCTAGGATGGGATTTTCTCTCCCGCCATGACGTCGTCATTCATTGCGCACCAGCAGAAATAGAACTCACACAATTCTCTTCTTTGACGCCGGCCGAGAGTCCATCTTCTGCAAGCAAGTTACTCGTCAGAGATGACACCCAAGTGCCTGCAAACTCGTCCGCGACGGTATCGGTCTACTGCGCAAGCCTTTCTGACACCGCTGCACTCCTCTCGCCGTCTCATCGTGTTTTCATCAGAAAAGGCTTGCTGGTTCCTTTCGCGACCGTGCAACTCACTCACGGCAGCACCACTATTTTTGTAGTGAACTCATCCCCGTACAGCGTTACGTTGGTGCGAGGGGAATGTCTCGGCAGCGTGGAACCCATCGAAGACGAACAAGTTATGGAACAAGTTATGGATCAACCCGATGACATGCACTGCTCAAGTTCCAGTACGCTTAGTGCTGTTTCGACATAAGCTTCATCATCCGATGATGTATTTGGTCCCTCCATTCCCGACAACCTTACGCCAGGCCAGCGTTCCCAGCTTCTGGGCCTGTTGGAAGAATTCTGGTCTTCTTTTGATGTCACCCAACCTTCTCTCGGCCGCACATTCACCGTCACGCATCGCATCGACATAGGCACACAGCCACCACTGAGACAGCGTCCATATCGCGTATCTCCCACAGAACGCCATGTCATCAACGAGCATGTCGACGACATGCTTCGCCGTGATGTTATTCGACCCTCTAGCAGCCCCTGGGCGTCTCCTGTCGTTCTCGTCACAAAGAAGGACGGTTCTGTGTGGACTACCGACGCCTCAACAAGATCACTCGTAAGGACGTGTACCCACTACTGCGGGTAGATGACGCGATTGACAGCCTGCAAGGAGCAGAATTCTTTTCATCCCTCGATTTGCGCTCAGGGTACTGGCAAGTACCTATGGCTGAGGAAGCTCGACCGAAGACCGATTTTGTCACCCCCGACGGCTTGTACGAATTCAACGTCATGCCGTTTGGGCTGTGCAATGCGCCCGCCACCTTTGAGCGCATGATGGATACTGTTCTGCGTGACTTGAAATGGCACACGTGTCTGTGCTACCTCGATGACGTCGTCGTTTTCGCTCCGGACTTCTCGACGCGTCTTCAACGCCTACGGCATGTTTTAACGCGTCTGAGTGACGTTAGT